TAGGCACTTTTTCAATGAAGACGCCGAGCTACTGGAGTTTCGACAGAAGGTCATTAACAGATTAACTGAATTAAAATATCGTATAGTTGGTCAGTGATCGCAAAAAAGCCCAAAGTAGCTGGGAAAAACATAAAGAATGCAGTCGCAAAGGTATTAGGTATCGATCCGTTTTCATGGGCCTCCACCTCTTTCGAAGCGTCTAATCGTCTAGCGAGTGCAGCGCAACATCCGTTTTAAGCTTTATACAAAGCCATTGTCAGAGCAATGCACATGTGTATACTTGCGCCTCTGGTATGTATATATAGTTTGGAAATAGCTCTCGAGAGTCGAGTCTCTGATGCTGCTCTCGTCGACGAGCACATATATGCACATACACACACGTGTTATTTAGGTTAGCAGGCTACATCATAATGCGTGTATGGAACTCGACTGCAAGCGAGACGATACAATACCCAAGCATGAATTGGTGGAATGAAAAATTAACCCTTCTTAGTCTTAGCGCCTCGCTCGCGGATCTAGACGACCTTAAAGAAATAATCTTTTGAAAAAGAATTTTAAATGTTTCCCATTAAAGCCGATGTGCAACAGAGAATAAATAAATACTCGCAGCGAGGCTGTTGCGACCGATGCAAAAAGGGAGTTGCGCGTGATGAGACGGCAAAAAAACAAGTGCATGTGTATAAATATTTTCCAGGCTTGAATGACGTCAAAATAAGCCTGCCTACAACTCACCCTTTGAGAAGAAGAGAGAAGAGCTGCACAGCCTGACGTCAGCTGCATCGATGTATTTCTACGTATGCGTGCGGAAGCAAAATATTGAGCGCGAGTGCGATAATCGACAGCGCATAAGCATATCCATGTGCACACACGTTGGAAAATTTTATCATCGATAATGTGCGCCATCGGTTCGCTCGAAATTTTAACCTACATTATACATTCGTCGTTTTTTGCCGCACATTAACGCGCAGCACAGCAGCTACGTGCAGTTTCAGTCGAAAAATAAAGATGATGATAATAATAATAATATCTTTGCAACGTCTGTCGCTCATATATGCGCGCCGAGCAAACAACGAGATTCTCTTTCACGAAGTTTCAGTCGCGCGTGCACATAGACACACAGCGAGTGAGCGAGTGAGCGAGCGAGAGAGACAAAACTCTTCGCTCTCGTACGTATACGTTTCCATTGCTGCAGCTCATCAGTACTGAATTCGAGCTTGCAGACTTTAACAAAGGATACGCTTGGCAAGTTGTTTGTTTCGCAAGGCGCGCATAGGCTTGCGCGTCTCTAATTTTGTCACGTATTAATAATAATATAAATAAATGCCCCAGCACAGCGCGAGCTTATAAAGTAATTCCAGAAAACTACCTCCCTCTACTCTTGCAGTGAAAGAGAAAATCGAAGCTTGCCTCAAATCGTCCATGTATTATGTACGCGCCTACATATACATGCGCAAACTTTTCACAGCCAAGTTTTTCTTCTCGGCAGATATTTATTCAAGTCGTAATATACCGTGCAGCCTTTAAAATTATCCATACATAAGTAGAAAAGTTTAAAGGGTGCGAGCCTCGGATAAAAACGTCCACATGGCTTAACGATCAAAGTTTCCTCAGAGAAAAGAAGGATGTACAGTGCGTTGTGCAGCCAACCCTGCCCTGAACTTTGTGCTTATACGGAGATGTAAAAAAGACTCGGCTAATTAGATCGTAGTGCCGTGGCAGCCCAAAACTTTTCATCCTTTTTTTTCTCTTTCCCTCTCGCTCTTGCTGAAGTGCTGAAATCCATTTATCGACCCTTTGAACCCTCTTGTCGTTATCACGCGTTTTAGTGAAAAAAAAATAGAATCGACGATGACGAAGTGATAGTATTGCTCAGTCACTCCAGAGAATACTAAAGGACGAGGCGAAACTACTTTATACTTTTAAAGTGACGTTTAGAAATAGATACTTTTTCCAGCGAGATGAGAAAAAAATAAAAGGAAATATTTTGGATAGTTTTTTTTCTCGCAGAGTCGTGGCTCGATTGGCCCCGATAATATAAGAAAAAAAAACTTTATAGCTCAATTTTTCGCCGCAGCTTATACAGTTTTTCACGCGTAGCCGCGGCAACAAGTGGCACAGTATAGGAAGTATAGTAGGCAGACTGTGCGCGATGAGTACATAACTTTCAAAAACGACGTTTATTAAATGATTTACGAGGCTAAGCTCAGAGCAACGGCCTCATTAAACCAGGCCAGTAAATGAAAAACAAGCCCGGACTGCCCTTTGTTTCCATCTTATCTCAACTTTTGCCTTTTTCGCGTAGAAAGTGCGAATTTAGCTACGTTTGATTAGCAGCGCCACTGCAAAGCTCGCACGGGGCTATGGAGTAAATCTGCAAAAATAAGCTCGCTCAATCGTATCTGAAAGTCGCAATATATACGCGTGCGACGGGCGCGTTCACGGGTATATGCGCTTGTATACAAGATCACTGAATCGAGCAAACTTATTCGCTGAAAACCAACTTGAACAAATATAAATCGCACGCGATCGAACGTACGTCCGCGCGCGTGGAATGTATATACCTGCGGGCTTTTGACCAGCGCAACTGAATTCGCTCCCAGCTACGGACATGCGGATATTAATCCCGAAATTCCAGCTATTCACCGAGAGGCAATTTTTCGCTTCGATATATTTATAATTCGCTCCCGCCTGCGTATATATGGCTAACATCGAAATTGAATTTACGGAGCATTTAAAGCTTCCGAAACAGTTGGAGCTTAGTAAACTAGTCGAGCTCCGACGAGCTAGTATAATTACAACTGTAAATTAACCAATCCCAAGCGTGTAGTGTGCATATGTGCACTAGCTTCCGTTTAATTCTCCAATGCCGAAAAATGTGAGTGCAGCGAAGTAGGGTCTCTGCCTATGCAAGCTCGTGTACTATTTTTATTATTGACGTTTACTTGGGCACAGGGTTTACCCCTTATAAGCTGTATTTACATTTTTCGATGTTGCAGAATTAAACGGAAACGAGTGTAGCTCGACGACGAGGCAACTCCACGCACGGACGTGTATACACGTGGGATACGAAGCAGAGCAAACAATGCGCGCGACACGGCCAGTCAATAACTTGCCGCACACCCGAGGATTAGAAAATATATCGTTCTAACCTCCGACTCGGCTGACGATAGCTTAGCCTTTTTTTCTCTTAGTTCGTAGCGGCTAAGTTGAATAAATGTATGTTGTACATACATACGTACGTAAGTGAAGGGAAAAAATAGAAAACGGATAAATGAATAATGGAAATGGCTACAACTGGCCTTAAAACGGAGATGACTTATAGCGATCGAGACGCGCTTATTATACCTCACGGAAATTGAACTTGAATTTAGCTTCGAATCCCTTGTACCTTGGCCAAAGCCCGTCTTAAATTTTACCTTGATCCATGGTCTGTGAATCGAGCTTTTTCATTCTCGGGATTTTTTATTTTTATTTTCTTTTATTTATTTTTTTATTTTTTCGTCCATTTATTTTTTGGCAATTCTCGCTTGAAAGCCGGAATAAACATTGAAAAATATTTTCCGACCTGCAGAAACACCAGCGTGCAGTTTGTAGCAATTAAAATTCGGCTCGAATGAGCGTAATAGTAATGCAGTATGGTAGAGTAGCTAGCGCACTTTATAAGAATGAACCGGCAGATCGCAGGTACGCTTTTGCTCATGGATAATAGGCCCTAGTGAGCTTTCCCCCTTTCGAGTTTATACCCCAGCTAAAAGCATAGATGTAGATTTTAATTGGTTGTTCCGAATATAATGCGCGTGTGCCAACTACGCCTCAGTTTTTACGATATATGCCCGAGAAACTTTGGAAAAAAGGAAAAAGGTATGAGCTGGCCATGCACATATAGACGAAAGGAGTCACGTTCTTATACGGGTGCGCAATCTCGAGAAAAAGTCAATTCCGCCGCGAGCTTAGCTTCACGCCACGGAGCGAAAAGTCATTCGGGGATTATCGATCAAATTCATCTACTCTATCCCAGTCGGTCATTCTCTTTATTTATTTTTTTTTCAGCTCTCTTTGATCAAAAGTGTATTAACCTTCATATTCTCGCAACGAACTCAGCTTGCACAAAATAAAAGGATCGGAGTATGCGCTCGAAAAGTTAGCTCGTTGCGTAAACCGGCTTTCTCTCTCACTCTAATTTCTTCGATCCGTGCGCGCTCGGGATACCTATAAATATCGCGGCCGAGGCTGTATCGAATTTTTAGCGAATTCTAAAGGGAAAATTCCATTTGCCCGAGTGTCGAGCTTTATAAACACGGCCCCTACGGTGCATATGCAGTTGTACATATAGTATATACGTACGCCCTCTGTTTATTGGCGCTGAATCTCTCTCGGCGAATTAATCCTTAATTTAGCCCTGGAGAGCAATCAAATAACGTCTTCTTCTCTCTTTTTCCGTCCTTTAAAATCTTATATTCTGGCGCATCGTTAAATGTTAAACAATTTATATTCGCTCGGATTATAAGCCACTAACGGAGCAACAGCGCCGCGAGTCAAATTACTCGGATCAACTCTCTCTCTCTCTCTCTTCCTCTCACGCACAGCACAGCTTAGAGCTTCCATCTCTCGGAGATGCCAGATATATAGCCACAGCTTGCAAGATATCTCTAAACCCTTGAAACTCATAGCAGCTCAACAGATGCAAACTTTGCTTACCGCTTGCTACACCCTATATAACTGCACGGAATATATACTGCAGCGGAGGATCTCGTCGGTGCATCGGTTAACGAGACAGCTGAAGAATCGGGTGTCTCGAGTATGCATCTAAGCCCGCGAGCTCGAGCCTCGAATAACCAAGTTGCTGCGTCGTAAACGCGCCCCTACGAGCCTCTTCGTTCCGATCAGCTGCTTCGCGCATTGCACTTTTCTTCTCTACAGTCTAGCGCGTCGATGGAAAAATAATAAGGTCACACTAAAGTCGGAAAAGCGAGCGAGCGAATAAAGATAAGTCAAAGATGTTATGCTGGAGCCGTATCGATTGGCGACAGTTTATCGCTCGATGCGGTCGAGTGTATTTTTACTATTCCATGTAGCATCAGCAGCTCATTTATTTTTGAAGGTCGCAGAAAACACACAGCTTAGGACCTGACCGCGTAGGCAGGCACCAGACACTGGCACAGCGAGTTTCTGCAGAAACCAAAGCTCGAGCCGAAATTGCGCTGGATGCAGGAGTTGGTGCAACTGGCCTCGCTGCAGTAGCTAGACAGCAGCGGGGCTATTTAAAAAATAAAAAAAGTCAAACGCTTGTACTCGAGCTTTTACATGCGAAATATATGCGAGCTTTTTTGGCATTACTCACTCTCTCGGAGGCCGAAGCCGTCCTCGTAAAAGTTGTACACATTGTCGCGGATCTTCTTTTTCACGTTAATTATGGTGCTGTCCGAGGGAACATGCTGAGCTGCGGAAACGTAACGACCGCACCGACTGAGAATTGTTTCAACATGGAAAAATAGTCGTGCAACTCACCGGCGACGTTGGGCTTGTCGATGAGCACGAGCACGTCGTCCTGTCGGGAGGGCGGCGGTGGCAAACCAGCCTGGCTCGTTGCGATCGCAGCGAGCAGCCACGCGCAGGCCAAATAAACGACGACGGGCTTCATAATTTCACTTTCCGAACTATCCTCGTTGAACTAACGAATGCGCGAATTCCTCCCATTTATACGATCGCGAATTCTTCGCTATCGAGCGAGATAACGCAAATTTTTCTCGCTCGTACGAGCTGCACGGGAAAATCCCGAAGCGCGTTTCCTAGCCTCGATAATGCAGTGGAGCAAAAAAAAGAGAAAAAATCGATCTCTGCAGAGTATTCGTTTTCCGAATAATATGCACATCTCGTGTTTGTTTAAGCTTTTCGTTATAGCGCGCATGAATTATATGCATATGCGGCAGAAACTTGAGTCACACTTGTGCGTGGAATAATCTGTCGAATGTATAATGAATTCCGAGCGTCGGACATTACTGCGTACCTACCCGAGCTGTCTCGCATTATTATATGATACGAAGCGAGATCGGTCGTGTGCGTCTGCACGCGCACAATTGATTGAATTACAAAATTCGCTACATCCATGTATACGATCGCGCTCACGTATTACGAGAATTATCTCGTTTCGTGCGCGCATAAATCAACAGGCGTGACGCCGCGCCACAACCACTTGCTTTTCCTCCTTCGAAATTTTCACCCAATAAAATGTCTTTATTGTTCTCGTGATATTCTCATATGTTCGCTATATCGAACGTGTCACGAGTGCAAAGCGCCGAGTATACTTGGGGAAAAGTCTGCATCTCCAGCGGCAAAGCTCAACTATGAAAGGCTCTCGGCGCGTCCGGCCGTTGACAATTTGGTTTTCAACATATTTTGCCATTTCTTTCGAGTCCGTTGACTTTGGACTCTCTTTCGAGCTGTTTATCGAAGCAGTGACGATACACGCGAAACTCGAAGAAAGAACGAGAATACTGCCAATACTGCAAAGTTTGAGGTGCACCTATTAAATCAAAGCGAAAGACCGTATGATTAAATTTCAATGGCATCGAGAATTCGCAGCTCAAATACTCAAGCCTGCAGCCCTGGATAGTTCGTTCATTGAGTATATACAGAAGATTCGAATTAAGTGCTCGAAAAGCTATTACTTACATTCCGCTATTTACACTGAATTGAAGAAATTCCGTTGTAAATTGGGCGACAGAAAAAATTCAGTCAAAAGCTGCAGTCTCGGGCTGAATCTGTCATCCTTGGAGGAGAGTCGTCGATTAAGTTGCTCGCGCAACTTTTCATCTTTTCCTTCAAAGTTTCACGGGCCAATTCCTCGGCGCAGCGAGAGACGCTCTTTATACCCCTGGAAAACTTGATAATTCAGATACTAAACACGAGGAGTTTGCGTCAGCTATAGGCGCATTCACGAATTTCAATTATTCATCTGAAACAATTCCAACTTGGTTATCTTTATTCTGCAGGATAGTCTGCGACACAGCCATGCGAAATGGAAACGACGAGGAAAACTTGACATTTTTTAAGTGCTGCAAAATTGCGTAAATATACACGCCCGAGATTCAATTTGAGCTTGGCCACATTCGCCCAGACTATGGTACGTATATGTATCGTCGTTGAAAGCTCGCTGCTCGTCCTGAATTTACAGGTAGTAAACCGCTCGTCCCGCTCGCTGACAATTAATCAGTCGAGAGAGAGAGAAAAAAAACGACTATTAACTCGAGCTGCTCCGCTCGCGAACGTTGAATGCAAAAATACACAGAGCCAAAGTACCAGAGACTTGCCCTGGACTTTCAAATAGTCGTGCAAAATACATCGAACGCAGATAAGACACGCGCGGGAAATATCGAAGATGGAAAAAGTCAGCGCTCTATGTGGTTTTATTTTCAGCAATTTGCGAAACATTTTCTTTCCTCTATCCTCGCGGCAAATATGATGATAGATCGCAACGGCGAGTAAACAACTGCGCATGGCTTATCGTGAAATTTTACCGACTATGAAACTCGTATAACGATGACATTTTTCCAACGTGAATAATGCATTTATTGCGCGCTAAAACAGCAGCTACGAGCACCTATACACGACTACAGATAATACATCCAGACGATGTTTCATATAATACAAGACGCTTTCCAGTCGAAAAAAAACATTCACAGAGACAAAGCACGACGCACAAAACAACATGAAAGCCAAAATTGCCCTACTAGCGATCGCGTGCGTTTATTTAGTGAGTGATTTTTTCATACGAAGGAAATGATATGGAGAAAATTCACACATCGTCGTGTACAAATAATTACAGCTGAGCACGTGCAGCGCTACAAATAGCAAAGCGTTGCATTCGGATTTGCTGGGCCAAAGCCAAGGGCCGCTGGACGACGGACCGATAAAGATGGACCGAACTCATCGGAAGCGTTTCGACGCGCTCAAGGATTACAACAAGTACGTGCACAGCTCCCAGGCGTAGCGATTTTTCCGACTCGAGCCATTACATCGATGTAACTTACTCACTCCAATCCGGCTCGTAAACATCGAGCTGCCGCTCGTCTACTGATAAACGCTTATGGAATACTAAAATCTAACGCATCCATCGACGAGCTTATACGACGTACTTGCGTCGATAGCGTCGTTACGATGCTTATGCACCTTTGTAAGAGCTTTTCTAACGAACTAAATAAAATATTGCAGCGAAATTTCGTTTTCTTTTCTTCCTACTCGCAGAATATATCCGTTTTCGCGACGATGATTGCAGCAGCGACAACGATGCTTTTCAATTATTCAACATTTCTCGCCAAAAAAAGTTACGTTTCATCATCTGTCGATCGAAAATTCATTAAAAAACTTGAACGACTCACATACACGGCGATGGTAGTAATTTTCAGATACGAAATAAAATAAACATTTAATAAATGTCGCAAGTACTCCCAAGGGCCTTCGGGAGAGGAGAAAATATCGCTCGATCAATGCTGATCTGCACCAGGTGCGTCGCACAGACCAGCCAGCCAAGTATAGGGATACATTCTGCGTTGTGTACGACAATTTACTATTAGATACATAAGCTTCTTACGCATCGGTAAATGGCCTTGGCAAACGTAATTGATATTAAGAAAAAATTGACAATTTCCCCCATGTTATATAATTAACACGTTTCTTTTCGCGACTTTTCATGAAACATCTGCAATCATAATTTCAATATAATTTCAATTTCTACCTACTATTCTAAACTAAACTATTATTTCTGACAACTCGGCTCACAACCTCTCGATCTTAGACATTTATAATATTGATATTTCAACCATTTTTCCACAATAAATGCCACTGAGGCTCTTTTTAATTAACAAATCCATATGACGATCACGCCTGGCTCTTGTCACCGGCCACTTTTTCTCGTTTCAAATTCAATGTCAAGCATGCTATAATTTCTTTTACACCGTGCGATGTATCTCATTGGGCCATCAGAGTGGAACCTATAATGAAGGCATCGGCGTGTGCGAGGCAAAAAGCAGTAAACTCTTTGCCATGCTTCTAATCGGATATTAAAGAAACTACAAGTCAGTAATAGCATTCCAAAACTTTTATCAGAATTTCCTTTTTCTTTCCATTTCCTTGAATCGTAAAAATAAAGACTGCGCACAATTCCCAAACGTTTAATACGTGAAATTTATTCAAAGTCTGCTCTATAGTAACGAAAATAAAATTTCCCACTGGAAAACTTGCGTTCCCAGGGAAACTTAAAGCGCAACAACAGCCCAGCGACAAATTTTATCACACTATTTTCTTTAGTTCTCTTCCTCTAGCGCGTGAATACGGCTTGTATACACCCCTTTATATTGTTCTTTTTTTCGAAAGGACCTAGTACGCCTCGAGTCTTTACAATTCATCGTAAAGTACTACATAGAAAACGTTTTCTACCTGTATTTTAGAAATCTTTTTTTTTTGTCTTAAATTTTTTTTTCATCGTAACCAGAAAATAATAAATACTTAAATTTGAAATGAGTACACAAATAATAAATTAATAATACAACAATTAGTATATGAATATCTGAGTTTCGATATTCATAAATTAGTCTAGTTCTCGTTCAAAATAATAATAAAAGTATAAAAATAGTATCAACACTTCTCAAATTTACCAACTGAAAGTACGTTATTTTGATTTTCGCTTTTCAGTCTATACTTACTGGCTTTCAATATTTACTAATTGTGTATCTTACGATAATTCGCAATCAGAGTCTTTTCAGTTGCCTAACCAAGCTGTACTTTAAAATTTATTAACGTAAATTTACCGCCGAATCTTTATATTTCTAGCATCATGGTGTTTCAAGTTACTGGTGCTTTCGAAAAAAAGATAGATCAGGAAGCATCGACTTCAAATGAGGATGATCAAATAAATACTTTTTATGAAATTGAGTACGGCCAGAATATTTTTGTTGTAAAAACACGTGCAGAGCTCAAATTGAAGTTAAATAATATTGTCAACGAAGACTTGACGGAAACAAAGTTTGACTATAAAGCATTTAACGAATTTCTGAGTGGAAAAAGTGATCGGTTTGAAGATAAACCGCGTAATTTAGTTGTGACTTGTAGAAGACAAACGAGTGTCGATGAAGATGAATTGGTCAGCGGCCAATGCGACGAAGATTTTGTGAATGAGGATGACTCTTCTCCCATAGTTATTAGCCAGAAAGGTATGCACGAGAAGCCAGCTGATTCTCAATCAGTAAATGATGACAATAATAAACACCCAGTGAATGAATACGGCAGTGGTCAACAAGGCTCAGAACTCGCAAATATTCGTGAGGAAATCTTTGTCAAATCACTTTATGAAGAGGCGCTTAAGGCATATAAGCCTCCTGTATCCAGCAGTGTCGATAATTCAAAGAACGATGATGGAACAATTAAAATCTTAAAAAAACCCTACGAGTTGTTTCCCAACGACTTGATCATTCATGTCAGGAGTGAGCGTGGCATCGAAATTTGGACCAAAGTCAGAGGTTCTTTCAGTAATGAATACCAAATTCCAAGTCACTTGAAAGAAACCAAACCGTTATTGAAGTATGACCATAAGCTTAATAAATTGGCCCTCAAAAACTTACATCAACACCTCGAGGGTCTAATCACTGAAGATGATCCGAATGATACAAAGGATGATCTATGTGGTCTGACTTTAGGTAAAGTTAAGTTCCCTGGCATTCCCGATGCATATGAAAGGAGAAGGGAAATGTATCCCACCAATTATCCAAACGACAGAAAACTACACTATTGGGGGGGTGATGTAGGTTTTGATGATAATTTATATCAAAAAGTTTTGATAGATCGAGTGCGTAAATCAAAGAATATCCTCGCCCAAGGGATCAGTATGCATGAAATTTTACGAGCGAATGAACAAGTAGATCGGTTGAATGAGGAGAGTATGCAATTTCCTTATTCAAAAGTAGAAACCAACAGTGAAGAACAATCAACGATCAACAATTCTGAGGAATCAAGTCAGGATGCCTCTAACAATCAAGAAAGACCTCGTGCTCGAGGTTACGAATGCTCCATATGTGGTGATTCATTCATAAATGAAGTACTTTTGGAATTGCACCAGGCAGTCTATTTGGATGATCATCTACATCGGAAGAGGGACAGACCGATCGATTCTGCAGATCCATAGAAGAATTGTAATTAATTGAAAAATTGTTCTCGTATTGACTTGAAATGCTTAATTTACTTTTTCAAATTAAAATAAAGTAAAAAATATCCTTCAAAAAATGTGGCATGTTTCAATTTACAAAAAATATATGTTCCAATAATCACAGCACATTGTATGAAAATTCATAACGACTGGCAATTTGATGTAGAAACCAAAATATCGGTCACAAACGAGCGAAAGCAAAAGGTAAGGCGGCACATCCTTCGCGTCGATACATCATATTTACACCGAGGGTAATCTGCAGGGAAATCAGAACTCATCCTCGTGTACCTATAGGTAACATATGTACTCGAGTGTGTGAATTTGTTGGTGTATAATAAATATCAGACTAAACAACGAGCTAATGCCGTTGGGATACATATTCTCCATGTTCCATTGAAAAATATGGTCGAACAAATCGCTTTTATTGAAAAATCGCAAATCTATTTTATTTATTCTGCTCGGTAGTTTTGTGGACTCACCTTTCGACTTCTCAATTCTAATGGACTTATTTGAGCTTGGCTCGGTGGGTGGCAAAATATACTCACGTAAATATACGCTCCTTGTTTTCAACTCGGTGGGGCAGTTTCATTAGCTCGACTACTTTGCGACTGGCTGCTTTTCGCTCTAATGAAATACTCGGCTCGAGCTTGTAGCTTTTTAGTATAACTGACTCGCGGTAAGCCAGATGTACCAAAAAATGAATCAAAGCTGCGCAATATATTTAAAAAGCTACCGAGACTCTGCCAATCTTTTCGACTCGACACAGGACCTTGTAAAAAGAGCAATAAACGTCATTTCAAATTTAACGTGGACGAAATGAATGACACAAGTTTAATGTAGAGCACAATTTATGAATAAAAAATGTATTGATGCGCAAACAAAGTTGATTAAAATAATTTTTGGCTCTCGCATACATCCCAACTATTTACATAGGAAAAAACGTCAAATGAATCAGTGCGATTCGATATGGTGCGAATGAAAAAAATCCGACACTGCCTCTCGCACTCGATTAATATTGATGATATTGGCAAGCGCGCGTCAAACTTGTTTAACCATCGGTGGAGCGATTAATTCTGGTGGACAGGCCGGATAGATTATTTTGTCGCTGCGTTTGCAATTGCTCGGAAATTCGGGGATGCCGTTGCAATCGATCAGCTGGAATTTCTTGTCGAAGCATATTCTCAATTCCGATACGTAAGACTCGTTCTTTTTCTGCAACGAGAGAGAGAGAGAGAGCCTGTGTCAGTCATTAATGTTTTGTTTCTTTGTTTACGCCTGTAGGAAGTGAGGAACTCACGTGATTTCTGACGCACTCGACGTAGGCATTAGTGCCCAAGACCTTTTTGACGGCTGCCAAATAATCTTGCAGATCGTAGGACCGATTGAGCGCCAAGCCAGCTTGAGCCAGCACCCCCTTCATGTCGTATTTCTCGATCAAATCGAGGCCCTTCTGGAAGTACTTTTTTTCGTTGCTCACCTCCTCGATGTCGATGGCGCACGTGCCGTGCTTCTCCCACTCGTGCTTCCAGAACTCGTGCGGCTTTCCGCCTTTGTGCACGTCGATCCACTTGACCTCGAGCTTGGCTCTCAACGGCTCGAGGGCGGCCAAATCAAAGTGCAACGACTCATTACAGAAGAACGGGCCCATCGTGTGGTTCTGGGTCGGCCAGATGCCGTGGATCGACCACTCCTCGTTCGGTGGCAGATTGCACTCGTGTTTCGGTGACTTTTCCTCCCACTCGTAGCAGCTGGTCGGCGGCCAGGACTGCGTGAAGATCAGTAAATCGTAATTGGCCACTGCCACCGGGTGTTGGGCATTTTTTCTGAAAATTTCAATGCGATATATTCTTATCAACAGTAGTATCGTCGGCAGACAATGAGACAAAGTCGAGAGCCTGATAAGCGTGCAAAGTCATTGCTTTCACCGATAGATGCATGTATATAGTACGTCGGAACAAAAGCATGACTCGTTGGCTTTTGGAGCAAAATAATTATAATTCTATCATTATTGTAAAAATTGATCGACTCAGTAAGCATTGAGTCTCTGCCTCAAAAAGTCAAGGGCTCGGGCAAGTCAAAATTTTTTGTCAATCTATACGGACAAGTGTAGAGAACACGAGAAACTGGTCAGGCAGCAAAAGCGAGCTGCACGATACATCAGCTGATGGTCGTCCCATAATAAACATGTGTATGTGAGAGTGTGTTTATATATAAACCACTTGGCTGCAGCGCGTCCATCTCTCTCTCTCTCTCTTTCTCGCTCTACGTATTGCACATATAGACAGAACACACAAGTTGACGCGCGCACAAGCCCAAAGCGAAACTTCATCATTGCGCTACGTTCGAATCTAAAATATTCTCTATATATCGGAAAATCGAATATCCCGCGTTGAATACTCGCTAAATGAACGTCCAACTCAATCAAACGTAGCAGCAGCAGCAGCAGCAGCAGCCGATGTATGTACAAGTGTATTTGTGTTTGACAGAAAAATGCGAGGAGCGCAAGCGGCCCATTGGACATGAAAAAATACTTACCCGAGCGACTGCGGCACGAGGCAGGCGACGATGAGAATACCCGCGATCAGCATTCTCGATGCAATTTTTTACACGATGGAAAAAAAGCTAAACTTTCGTGTAAAATTAACAAGGAGCTACGAAGCAGACCAAGAAGAAACTGAGACGCGCTTGGTCGTTGATTTAATTGTGGCGAGCGACCGTATAACGTCCCCCTCCTATAATACGTATATATGTAGAATCTTTGTCGCTCGTACGATACATAGGCATGCAGATGTGTGCGCGAGAGCCACACACACATGCAACATATAATATAATACGTCGATGCACAAAGAGAGAGAGAGAGAGAGAGAGAGAGACGGAGAAATGTTTTGATCTATCTGTACACTCGGAAGCGAAGCTCGTGCAGCTGCCTCGCGTTAATGAGAAGCGTCGGATTTCCATGAAATTAACCTATCGACCTGGATCGATTAACGATCGATTTGCTCCACATAATCATTTATTTATAAATATTCAAGCTTTTCTTAAACCAATAGCTTCTAGTCTTGAAATGAAAACTTTTTTCATTCCCAATAAAAATAAGCATTATAATTTTGACGAGCTATCACAGACAACGTCAAAGTTGCGTGAGCCGTTGCGCTGCAAACATGCACTGGGACATGGAATTAGCGACGATCTTCGAGACCGAACCCGTAGGCCGACAGCTTTGCTCGATACGTCGAGAATCGGATGGTTGAGAGTGCAGTCCAAGTAAAAATACGGCTTGTTTTTGTGGGCCCGCAGGTATCGGTGTTAGCGGAAGCCGGGACGATGCGACGCCAGTACTCGTCGTCGCTCTCGTCGAGCAGCGGCGGCGGAGGCGAGCCCCTCATCGTCGTCGAGGAGAGCACACTGGCCGAGGAGGAGGCCGCCGACACGTTGCAGTACCAGCAGTCGGACTCGCCGCCGAGGTGCCTCGACCCGGACTCGCCCGGACTCAATCCGTACCTGCTGTCGCCGTGGCGCGAGGCCCGCAAACACTCCCTGCCGACGCCTCAGTGCACCTCGGGCATCACCGCCTCGCAGGTAAGTTCGATTCGCCTCCTATATACCTAATAGCTCGATCGTAATCGAGGGGCACGAAGCAGTCGAGAGAGAGAGAGAGAGAGAGCGAGGTTACTAACCCCCGCGGCTAACAATCGATCAGCGAGCTATAAGCTATCCCCGAGCTTTTGGCGCGCCACACCGAACGCGACTCGCTTGTTGTACAACACAAACAGCTATCTATTAGCTGCAAACTTGCTTTTTTCGAGCTCGTCTTTTTCTGCTTTTGTTTCTTTCGGCGATAAAAGCTTTTACACGATCGAGACTTGGCGCATCGACTCGAAACGATAAGCAGCAGCGAGCGTACGCTCTTTCTCCCTCGACTATACGACAACATCGGCATTGGAAATCGCGTGCCTGTGAGCCTTTAAGCTTACGTACACACAGCCACTGGCAGGCAGGCACGCATACACGGACAGCTGCACACTTGCAGCTACCTTACCGAGTAGCAGAAGCGTCGCGTAGGGCAAAGTCTCTCCTTGTAGTTGCGCGTGTGCAGCTGTCCGTGTACAAACTACCGCAGCTTTACTAATGCACCATATACTATACATATAATACGTGTGTTGGCTGATTGGGCTGATGGCTCGGGGGTTCGCAGGTGCGCCGTCTGAGCGAGCGCGGAGGCGAGGGCTCGGGTCCGTCGCCGCGCGAGGCAGCTTTCCTGGCGACTCTGTCGCAGTCGACGCCACCCCAGCCAGGCGGTCGCAGGCACTCCGTCGTGACGATATCGCGCGTCCCGCCGACCCTCTTCGGACGCAATAGGCGCGAGTCCATCGCCGCCTTTCCCATGGGCGGCGCGCCCCGCATCCTGGCAGGCAGACGCGACTCCTCGGGACTGCTCTCGGGCCCGCCGAGCAACAGCGGCAGCACCCACAATCTCCAGCTCGACATGATGGACGACATCGTCGACATCAAAGCCAGAAAGGTGAGCTTTTCAAACTTATTTTATTGCGCCCGTTTCGCTGCACCCTTGGATCCGTATTTTCCAAAAATGGGCGCTTGTCCTTCGACAGTGACATTGACGAAATTGTCGCGAGCGTTTTATCGGATCGACGACGCGAAACTTCCTGTTGCTTGCACAGACAAAAATAACAAAGTCCGATTGTCGATTTCAATTTTCCATTTTTAAAATTACCAATGCAAATGAGCGATAAAAAATATATTTCCCACACGTTCTTCAGGGCTTTAATCCTTGAAAAACAAACGAACGTATTTAAATGAGAAATCGATCGATTGATGTGCAGTGCACAGAGTCACGGACGGCCGTGGCAAGGTTACAACACATTAGCCGCGAGTGTAAAATTCCGCATATTAGCTCGCGTAACGAGTTATATTGCACTCGAGCATATACTTGGCGTGCCGAGACTATCGATCGGAACACGTCCTACGGCATATATAATAATGAAAAACGTTTCATCGTTGGCAATTGCACGCGTTAATAGGTGCGACTGAAAATGTGGCGAACTCCGTCGAGGGAGCGCGTCTGCGAAGTCCAGCCGATCGAGAACAACGGCTCGACTTCCGGCGCGGCCCAGCGATACACCGCGTCCCAGTGCCGACGCTACTCGGACTTCGGTCTGGCCACGATCCCGTCGGACAGGTCGACGCGGCGCAGAGCCTCCGAGATGCCGCCGAGGATACCCCTGGGCCCGCCGCCCCCGATCCCGCCTCGCTCCGGCTCCTCCGGCATCGTCTGCTCCAATACCGATCTCATATCGATCTTGAGCTCGCTAACGTCCTCGGCGACGGAGATCGATCGCTGCGGCATCGACGAGGAGCCAAAAGAGCCGGCTAATGGCAAGTCTCAACCTTCGACGTCTACTTTCAAAACGATCGAGCAGAGGAGAAACAGGTTGATTTTATTGTTGTTGATCAATTTTGCAAACAAAAACCTGTGTGCTGCAATTGATTTTGTTGGTGTTTTTTCTCTTCTCTCAGCTATGTATTAAGTTTACCGTTATAATTCATTTTATGGGAAATTGATAGGACGAAGATGGAATAAGGAAGTTTTAAAAAATACTACGAATCTATTAAACGAGGCCAAATCCGTTCCGTCTTCGTTCGGATTTATAATAATACTGAATGCAACTAACACTATTATCAATTTTCTCAGTGTGTCACCTTAAAACTTTTGTTTGAAGCTTCATGGACAAAAAGCCACTGGCTCATTTCAAAGTGTATACTAACTGAAAAATGTGTTGAACCCTCCCCAACAGGTTAAAGAGTAACCGGTCCAACAGTTTCGACGTGTCGATACTTCACGGCTGCGGCGACAAGCAATCGGCAACGAGCGCATCGCTGGCCGCAGCCACCAGCTCCACGTCGTCGTCGTCGTCGAAAAACAGCTCCTCGACCATCTCGGCGTCCTCGTGGTTCGCCAAACGACACCAGCCAATGGCGAAAAAGCAGCGCAGCGTCTGCGGCGAGTCGAGCGCCGTCCCGACCACTCTGAGCTTCAAATTCGAAAAGTCGCGCGTCGTCAAGGCGGTGAAGGAGAGCCTGTCCAAGGTCACTTCGCCGACCAAGGACGACGCCAAGCACAAGGTCGTTTGGGACGGCACCAGCGGCACCAAAGTCGATGCCCAGGTTCGCCCTTATTATTTTGCACTTTACTTGTATGTTATAGCATGGAAAAAAGAACGGAAAGTAGCTCGAGAAAATCAACTCTAGAGCATTGAAAGGCCGGAAAGTAATTCGATTTATGAGCTTCGACGCGCGGGATACTAACGAGATAGATAATGTCGGCCGATAGAGTTTACGGAGCACGAAGAAGCAGAAGGGGAGGGCTACTATTCGATTATCGAGCCAATGCCATTATCCTTGGAAAGTCTTGGAAAAATGTCAGGCTCGTTAAACGAATTGCGCACGGCCGATTGATTTCCGAAAATGCAGTCGACTCTATTAACGCGAATCTAATCTCATGCCCGCAGCTCCTCGGCAACGCGATCGAAGAGTTCCTGCGCAGCGGCGTTGGTGCCAGTGGCGGCGGCGGCGGCGAGACTCCGGACGCCGAGAAAACGGTCCACTCGCCGACCGGAAGAGCGCCGAGATCTGCCAGCGGCGGCACCCCGACCAGCCGAGTGGCCGCCTGGTTCGCCACCAGTCCGGGCTCGGCCTCGACCGCCCCAGCCGCCACCAATAGCAGCGGAAGCGTCGCCGGCACCCCCAACAATAACAATAACAGCAATAACAAGGACGACCAGCCGGAGCAGAGCGACCAAGCTGGCGATGCCTCGATTCGTTCCTAGCTCAAAGATCTGTTCGTCAAGTGAAGACAGCGTCCGGGACTAGCGCGAAGGGACAGTTTGTGCACTCGCGTGTGTCATTCTTTTGGTTTTGCTGGTTGATTACCAGAGTCCTGCAGGACTTTCGAGCTAATTGTAAATTTCGTTCTGCGCGTGTATCGCGACGTTGGCGTGTGTGCGATTAATTAGACGTTTTTTACGCTGACCATTATAATAGATAAAGCCAAATGTATCATATGAATATGGTGCAGCCGTTGTTCGACTACCATGATAAATAAATAATAATCGTTTAGAGCTTCTTGCAATCGAAACTTGATATTCAAAGTGACAGAGCATTCGACGCCTCGGCGATAGCAATGTACATTGAATAAATGTGAGTCATTAAAATTACCTGGTAACAAAAAGAATCAACAATTCTATTTACTTTTAAATTCAAAGTAAAAAGACATCGATTTCTTTGAACAATATCTTGAACGATTTCATTTTTTTACTCTCTCTCTCTATCTTGAATAACTCACATTTTAGAATATCAATCACTTATTTTGCTAATCGCTATAGTTATTACTTATTACATATGGCTCCATTCATTGAGTAAATTATTTTTATACAGTGGAGATGATTGGCGATTCAGAAATAAGACGAGATGAAATTAAAAAATTTTAGAACATAAATAATTATAGGTGTTGAAGATATTAATTGCAAAAATGAAAATAAATTCTTGCATAAAAGTCTTGCATTTGATCCTCTGCTGGACAAAGGACGTTATTTGAATACCATAAAATTAATTAAATAATTATTATTTCACTATGCAGAACATTCCCTTCCTTTAATTGAAAAGCCACAGTAAATAGAGTCTACTGCAAGATTCGTTCGTGTACTAACAGTAAGCAAATAAGAGTAATTAATTACTGATATCCATGTCAAGCCCGAGGGACACTTTGTTTGCAAGTAATGTGTAATTGTACATTGACTAAAAATTGTATAATCTACTAGTTGGCTAAAATACAACTACATCTGGCTATTATAGCTCATAATATATTTAGGCTACGACATAAGTGATGATATATTTTTTGAAAAAAAAAAGAAAAAGTTGAAAGATTTAACGTAATGATACATTTCGATAGAAGATCAAAATAATAAAAATTATGGACCATCATTATGAATGTATAGACAATCTTTAGTTAGAAAATTATGGTAAACTTTAAAATTGTTATAAAAAAAGTTAATAAAAAATTTAGAATAAAATATTGTACAGAAATTATTACAAAAAAAACAATATAATAAAAACTTTTTTAGATTTCAGAATAAAATTTCTGAATCTTTGTTCCGTCTATCTAATAATATATAGATAAACCTCATTAAAAATGAAAATAATTAATAAAGCGTCTGATGTTCGTGTACAAAAAAAGTATAGAGATTTGTAAATGAAAACTTGATGTTGAATCGTTCGATAAATGTTCCTCATAATACACATATATAAAAGGAAAGGCGTTGCAGTGTATTAATTTTGGTTGAATTTTAAAATCCGATAAAAATAATATATAACTAAAACAAAATACATTTGTTTTATCAACTTAACAACATTGAGTGCTCAATATACGCATAATATAAATATCACTTTCTGCAACGAATGATAAAAAAAAGCAAAATGCAATACAATTATCAAATTTTGCTCGTAAAAAAAAGCAATCGAGCAAGATGTTTTTTTACGCGTTTTAAGAAAGATGTCCTTTTTCTAGATGCTTGTATGCATAAAGTATGTATGTATATACGTATCAGTTGATTATTGATTTTCACATAATTGCGATGAATGCAATTTCCTTTTTACCACTACCGACCTAATAATATTTACCTTACGTCTATGTAATAAACGAGTATATGTGTGTGGTGGTTCGGCAATTTTTCAAGGTTACCAACAAAATATAAATCTATATCAAATTAAAAATGGTTAAAATAATCTGTAATAATAAATAAACATTATCTGTAAATAAGGTTTCGATTTTTCGTTAACTATAAACATTCCGTATTTGTAATTCTTTGAATTAATAATATTAATAAAAAATGATATATACCAATGTATTGTCGCGAACGTATTAAATATTGTTTACTGAATATTACAATATGTGCAAGCGTTTACACACGCTTACGAGCTATGCTGTATGAAATGATAGTTTATAAGAAGTAGCACGCGTCGCAGGACGGTGCGGTTTAGCTGAATATTCTAAAAAGTCGAAAAATAAATTGTGTATTGTGACAACAAACGATTGTGCAGTGCACTGTAAAACTGATGCTACAGCGCAATTATAAGTCGCATTATGTTACGCGTTAAGGGACATGAATCGTTATCAGCAAATTGTAGATTCATTCAATGTTATTTAACAAGAAAATATTGTAAGATCTGAGAGTATCACCTTAATTGTACTGGAAAGTTGAATTATAAATTAAATAGATTACATTAGAACCGATTAAAAGAACAGAAAATAAATTGGAAAAATGATGTTGTACAAAATAAATCTTCAATGTTTGAAAACATACTACATTTTAGACTTGACTTTTTTCGAAAAACAACATTTTATTATTTTAAAGAAATAAAAATTATAATAACTTAGAGCTTTTAACGAAAAAAGTAACAATCAAATTGTGTATTCACTATTGTTTCGAACACTCATGAAACAGATATCGATTTTAATAACATGGTGTTACTGGTCTTGTGCGATTGTCGTACTTAATAATCGGAGATCCATAATCACAAAATTTCAACAACTAAAAAGAACACGCAATAGAGTAATAGATCGATGAGAGACGTGGCCCTTTTTCGTCTCCCAACTATAAACTTGATTACTTATACATCATTTCAAAGAACATTCGATAAATGCTTTTACGAGCATACGTGCATTTTTTGCATTATATATGACGTTAATAACAATAATGTGCAAAGACACGTGCACGTCGCACTTTTAACACACATAAACACGGACGTACACCCATTAAGCGATAAACATAATCATCGCATGATTAATCCATTGTATTAAAAAGTGTACGTACGTGTATTTTATACATATATGTAACACGATGCATCGTTTCACTGTGGGACATACAAGGCTTTAGTATAAGGAAGATATACATATATATAGAGATAGAGAAGGTCGACGATGGACAACTCGATACAATGTCATATTTTACAATACGAGATCATCTTGCTTATTGATGGTAATTGGACCGATTCGCACATATATTTTATGCATTGTTATATTCAGCCAGCTGACTCGCTCTGCTTTTTTGTTCTTTCTATGTTTAAAAATAGCAACTATAATTATTATAAATCGATGAGCAGCTTATGATTTGACTTCGCCACAATCTTGGACGACGATCTTTTTCGACGTTTTGCCGCTCTGCGATCCCAATGCTTCGAGCTGAAAAGAAAAGAAATTAGTCACGATTATGTAAAAAAGTGCACGAGGAAGCTATAAGCTATCGAGTGGCACCGGCGACGCTACGAGTCTATTTTCGTATAGGGTCAATGAGTGCGAAAAATCATGGAACAAATTGTGCGTGCCCCGACGTAGCTCCGACAGTCATTTAACTATTAGGGCCAGCCTATCTATACAAGCCAGGAATAGAATTTTTCGGTCTGACCGTCGCGCTTCAAGTTTTTTCTTACTTGTTAATAGTTACTATTTGTACTGGCTATGATTTACTTCTCCAAGGACAATTTCGTACGAAGAAATTTAGTTGCACAAATGCAATGTTTAAGCGAATCGTAAGTTTGAATTAGTTTATTCCGTGTGACAAATATCACCGATGCGACGACCTTTACTCTAACATGCATTTAGTCTCTAAACAAGTGCTTTGAACGTATACAATCGAAGGCAAAACGTTGAATATTCAAACATCTTTGACATTGTAATAGCTGTAGATACGATTCTATGCACTAGTCAAATCGCCAAAGTAATTTCTTAATTAATATTTGTATAATGTATACTTTGTATCAACCTTGAGATTCACATCGGCAATAAGAGCCGACACGAAGCAATTGGATTGAACCTTACTCTCCCTTCGCTTCGATAGATGCACCGATCGATTCATTATCGGAGCAAAATAAGTGAAGCCAGAAGGGGATCATCTTTTTTGTTTGAAGAAAGGTAAAAATGAGGCACGACTCACTTTTCGCACGACTTCCATGCCCTCGACGACTTTGCCGAAGACCACGTGCTTGCCGTCGAGCCAATTAGTCTTGACGCAGGTGATGAAGAACTGCGAGCCGTTGGTGTTGGGTCCGGCGTTGGCCATAGACAGCACGCCCGGCTCGGTGTGTCTCAGCTGGAAGTTTTCGTCCTCGAACTTGGCGCCGTAGATGGACTTGCCGCCGGTGCCGTTGTGATTCGTGAAGTCTCCACCCTGGCACATGAAGTTCGGAATGACCCGGTGGAACGAGCTGCCCTTGTATCCGAAGCCTTTGTCGCCGGTGCACAGAGCCCGGAAGTTTTCTGCCGTTTTCGGTGCAACGTCCGTGCGCAGCTAAAAAAGATGAGTCTTGAATTAATACGACCTTCAAGGGCTCTTTCTCTCTCTCTCTCTCGCTGAGGGATAATTAAACGCCATCGTCGTGCGTATACACGCTCGTTGGGATGAATTGAGACTCGGAAGAATTTAAACGACCGCCGCAGTAGTTTAATGATACTTGACCCGCTTACTTATATTCGCTTGCTGCGTTCGTCTACTTTTCAAAGAAGGAAATATTCGTTTTTCGAGCACAGGGTCAAAGGAGAGCCGCGACAGCACACGCGACAGCGTAAAAAATGTTGTCACCTTTACTAACATAATAACAAAAGAAAAAACAGCGCTAGTCAATACTGTAGATCGTAAGATAGGCACGTTGTTCGCCAAAGTGTTTATTATCGCGTCAAAATAATTTTTTTTCCATCGCGATATCGACTTTTTTCCGTTTCCGATGAGTAAGCTGAAAATTATAATCAATCGAGCCAGGAGTAAAGTTGAACGCGATCGATGTCTCGTTGAATATTAAGTCGAGCCTCGCGTAGGCGATTCATTATTTACTTTGAAATAATTCATAATTCAAACGATTCTATGTGAAAGTGACGTCGCGAAACTCCGTAAAAGAGACGTCAGATACACTCTCCACGGGTATATTTCAAACTTTCGCAATTTTTTGACACAACAACTCCAAAATGATTCCGTCGATAATGATAGATTTTTCGGTTTTGCCGAAACATGAGAAAGCGTGCAAGGATAAACAATGGGTATAAAAGATCGCTACAGTGGGAATCGTAGGAAAAACGTTCTACGACTGCATGGGACTAACCTCCATGACGATACGGCCCACGGGCTTGTTGTCAGCCGTCATGTCGAAGAAGACCTTTGGCAGAGTCATTTTGTTGGCGGGTTGACCGGGTGCGGCTTTGGCGTAGGAGCGAGCGATGTTGACCGAATCCGAACCTGCCAACGACTGAAGAAGTTGACGTTGTTGTAGAGCTGTGGCCGCTGCGCCGCTGCCCGTGCGACGAGCAACAAAGGTCGATTCAATTGCTAGTCCTAAGCACCGTCCGATCGATCCCAAAGCCATACTGAATTCCTTTCTCTGTCTATTTTTCTTCTCTAGTCTGGCAAAATTGCATCAATTTTTCAATGCACTGCACGGGGATTCTATGGTGTTTCAACTCGTGATCCGTACCTTAGCGAACACGTGCTGGTACCGGCTAGTCGCGACTTACTATACTGTGATTATGATCGTCTATCACGATGGTATGCAGTGTTGGCACGCTTACGTAATTTTTCCGGCTCCACAAATTTCCGATGAATACACACAAACACACCATCGCTTTTTGGGACCGCGAAATTTATAACTGTTTGGGTACTGCACATTCGCAGTAAATAAATGCAATTCGATGCTTAATGACATTATTTTTTATGCTAAAGAGAATTATCGAATTTAGCATTGATCGATGTGCAACGGTTATTACTATTGACTTTATTACGAAACAACTCGTCTACGTTCGATATTAAAGTAAGAAAATTGAACGATGTGTTTATTTTAGCAGGAAATCGAACGACATTCCCGTCGAGCGTAGATTCTTATTTAAATTGTTGATCGATAATCAACACTAAAAAAATACAAGACAATCCTGACTGCACTTGATTTTTTTTCTTAGCTAATATGTCTTCTGAATTTTATTATTTCTATTTGCAGGATTAATCGTAAACAGCTTTTAATCCGGAGTCCGGCTGCGTCAAAGAACTGTTTTGACGCGGTCAATTGACGCTTGTATGTTTTGTATGCTGCTACTGCACGGCTCCCACGGTTTTGCCGGATCCACAAATTGCAAATAGTACATGGAGGCAAAATAGCGCAGATGAGGCGGCTTATGCTCGGGACGCACACTGTGAAATAGCTGAAAGCATAGTAAAGTGTAATTTTGCATCGAGAGACGCCTCTCTGCAGGCTCTCCGTTTCTCTTGCAGCGTTGAATTGCTATTGTGTATATCACCAGAGCCAAAACAGTGTGTGTATCTTACTGCTATATACTATAGTATAAGCGACACCGCTTAAAGCTATTCAACTAGGCCGTGCAAAGACATTTCACACGCAACTTAATAAAACGCCGAGGTGGAAAAAAAAGGAAAGGAAGAACATTGCAAAATACGTCAACCGCATATATTAGCACTGCGTCGTGCAGGTTCGTCGTCGTTTCATTACGACACGCGCAAAACTTGTGCATAATAAACCATCATCATGAGTAACATGTCACCCTTCGGCGGCGGCAAGCATCCGCCTTGGGCCCGAAACGCAGGTAACAACGCATTTTTTTTCTATGCATTATCACTTCCTTCATCAATCCTCAGCTGCAAACCTTTAATATGCTCATTCGATTTTTTTGCAACATCCGGAACCTAAAGTTTGAGGTTGACTTTAACTCAAACTATTCATTATAAATGTATAAAAATAGATTGTAACTTACTGGGGAAACTGTAGACTATCTCATAAAGTAAATTATTGGATACTGTTTCTGTACATTATTTTATTTCATTTTTTCTTAAAAATTAAAATTCATCTAAAATAATATTAAAATCTTACTTTTTTAATTCTCCCAATTCCATTTTTTTCAAAAGAATAAAAGTATTTAACATACCTCTATTATGTACACTTTACAGGTCTTCTTTATGTATGATTTTTATTTCTTCAATTTATTATAAATTTATTTTCTCTACAGGTCAAGGAATTCAAAATATTCCTCAACAAATGTTGGGTCAAGCAATGAATCAAGCTATGGGTGGTCAACCAATGGTTCAATACCAACCACCAAATCAACAAGTATATCAGCAGAGCCTTAATTTGCAACAAGTAAAATTATTTGTATAAATATTTATAAATTAAAAACAAATTATTATTCTGTTTAACTATTATTTTAGCAAAATATTAACATGGCATCAATGGCTCAGTTAAATGCCAATATGTCATCTGGGCTAGGTGGACAATTATATCCTCAAGTAGCTACAGTTTCTTATCCTACTCCAAGAACAATAAACACCAATGCTTTTCCGCAATCAGTAGCTGGTGTAGCAGCAGCGGCACAACAAGTTCAACAACAAAATGTGCCTCCTTCATCAACCAAACAAAGAGTATTTACTGGAACAGTCACAAAAGTACATGAAAACTTTGGTTTTGTTGACGAGGATGTATTTTTTCAAACAAGGTAACATTTTCAAATTTGAATCATTTAAATCTAGTTTTAAAAGTCTAATTCTAAATGGCATCATTTAGTGCTTGTGTCAAGGGATCAAATCCAGCTGTTGGTGATAGAGTACTTGTAGAAGCATCTTTTAGTCATAACATGACTTTTAAATGGAACGCAACAAGGATACAAGTACTCCCAATGGGTAACAACACCAGCAGTGCTAATTCACAGACAACGGCAACAGCTGCTCGACAAAGTCAACCTGTAAGATCAACAGGAGCATATAGTGCAGTACCTCCTCCATCAGATTCTTCTAATAGTAGATTTAGTACAAGTAATTCCACTAGCTCTTCCGTGAACAATCGAAATAAGCAGTCACGAGTTAGAGAACGATCACCTCGCGATCGAAGAAATGATGACGATGAAATTGAACGTAAACGTCGTAGAGAAGATCGGATAAGAGAAAGAGAGAAGAAAGAGGAACGTAGCCCATCCAGATCAAGAAGAAGCAAATCCCCAAGACCTCGACGTAGAACAAGAGTGGTACCTCGTTACATGGTGCAGATACCAAAGATATCTTTAGATTTGTAAGTGCAACAAACTTGAAAAACCTAAATTACATTTATTTTAAAACAACTAAATTCTATTAATCTCATCACTTTTGCAAATAGGCCTGAAGCGGACGTTTTAGAGATTAAAAGGCGTTACCAAAATATGTACATTCCCAGTGATTTTTTTTCCACCAACTTTCGATGGGTAGATGCTTTTCCACCTCACATGCCATTTACTCTTAACAAGCCCTGCTCCTTTCATGTTATGCACAAGGATATTGATCCACCAATTGAAAATACATCTATACTAGAACCCCCTGATGCAGATTACTTGTTTTCTGCCAAAGTAAGTGTCCTACTAATATTATGAAGTATAAGTAAAAATTACTCTAATTTAATATTTATTTTAGGTTTTACTTATTTCTATGCCACAAATGGAAGAAATCTACAAACGATGTTGCGGCGTTACAGAGGATCGAGACAGCGACCGTGATTACATTCACCCTACACGTTTGATCAATTTTTTAGTGGGCTTACGAGGCAAAAACGAAACAATGGCAATCGGTGGTCCTTGGAGCCCTTCACTTGATGGTCCAAATCCAGACAAAGATCCGTCCGTACTCATAAAAACAGCCATCAGAACTTGCAAAGCTTTAACTGGAATTGATTTATCTAATTGCACACAATGGTACGTACTTATAACTCTTTACAATTCATTTTATGAGAAACAACTCCTTAGTGTACGTAAATTTTTAAATGATAAATGAAAATTTCTTGAACAGAAGATTGAATTCATTCTCTTTGTTTTTACATCTTATTTTTTCATTGAATTTGCATTGTAAGCTGAAAATTTTTAATTTTTACGCAATGAAAAATTCTGTACAAGAAGTTATTACAATAAATTTAATGTGAAAATACTATCAATAGTATGCTGGACTTTAACCAAAGGGTATTGCTTGCAAATTGCTTGAAAGTGTACATATGCATCAAAGTATAAAAAAGCACTCTAAGTAAACAAAAAAAAAAAAACAAAAAGAAAAACACAGGTACTTCTATTAATGTACTTGGTCAAGGCAAAATTTAACTTAATTTTTCTTGACTACTTTATACTTTTGCTTTAATCCTTTATTGTCATTTTATACACTATTTTATCTATTATATAAGAATCATTCATATTCATGAAAAAATGAATTTTAAATAATAAAATAAACTTTTAAGTGTGCAGCAAAGGGAACCATGATTAATAATAGCACATAATTCTCTATCTCTTCTTTGGCAAAACATGACAGATTAAAATGAACATGGATGCTTATAAAGGCATCGGAGTAAAAAAATGTGTTGATGGATGATAATAATGAATGATCATTCATGGAGAAGCCCATTAGTTGTATTTTTGTTTGTTTTGCCCTATGTGCATGGGGTGAATGTAGGTACCGCTTCCTGGAGCTCTACTACAGAAGGTCCGAGAGCAGCCATCACAAGTCCGGCAAGCCACTACCTTCTCGCGTTGAAACTGTCATACTCTTTCTCCCAGACGTTTGGCGCTGCGTTCCCACTCGATTGGAATGGGATTCATTAAACGGTAGCTACAGAAGACAACTCGAGCGCAAATTAAGCCGTGGAAGTGAACCTTCTACTACTCCTACTTCTACTACCATCGCTGCTGTCGAGCAACAACAACAACAGCAGCAGCAGCAGCAAGATGCAACGTCTACAACGAGCGAGAACAATGTCGAGAACGAGACTTCATTGGTGGCAGTCGCACCGGCAGCCGAGCAAAAGGCACTGGCAGAGCACATCTATAAACACAATTCATTTCTTTCCTTATTTTTTATCTATCACTTTTTTAATTTTCTTACTCCTTATCTACAAACCCTATTTTCTAATCATTATTGCTTTATTTTTTTCACATTCATAACATAGATGAGAGTATTCATGTTAAACGAATACTTATCTTTCCCAATTATTTCTCTCTATTAATTGTCTTTTATGTAAGAGATTAGCTCTTTTCTGTTGCCAAAACATTCATTCTCGATGTTTATAAGACTATCTGTATGTTTGAATTTTTTGTTAGCATACATTCAAGTGATTGACCCAATTACTTTAAGACTGCTTCACATGCTTGTAAATTAATTTGATTGTTTATGAAAGAAACTTTCAAAAAAATGGAAAGACATTAAAGAGTAACGAATGACAATGAAATTAATTATATAGGTCATGAAGCAGAAATAAAATTAGCCAAGTGAGCAAGGCCTTACTCTAGGAAATGTGTGCAGCAGTTTTGTCATTTTCATGTTTACTCAGACGATTTTCATTTGACACCATTTCTTTTTTATACAAACCACCATAATCATTTACTTTTTAACTTAGTACTTATGAATTTAAAATTTTATTATGCAATGAAACAACACCAACATCACAGCCAGGACACTCTAAGAGTCTAGCAGTTTCTTATATTTTATATATAATATTGACGCATTAAAGATATTTGTTGTATTATATTATAACATATTACAGATTGCATTTAATATTAATTGAATGTATGTTAGAATGAATGAACGTATGTATGACATTGAGAGTGTAGTCATGTTTTGGTTATAAGGGCTGCTTCAGTTTCGTAGAATTTCAATATCGTACCTACTGAAGTTGTTTTTATTAAATTTTCTCTTCTCTATTTCAGGAAGAGATATCCGGAGATCAAAAAGAACCAACACATTATTCTCAACTGGATCCTAAAAATATGATTGTTCGTAAAATTATACTCAATAAATGTAATACAAGTTTCGATATGAGCATTTAAATTATAATTTTTTTGTCAAGGTAAATGAACTGCGATCGGAATTGGCCGCTAGAAATCTAAACTCTAAGGGATTGAAATCTCAACTTCAAGCAAAACTGACAAAAGCTTTGAAATCCGAGAAAGCTAAAGAAGAAGGAAAAGAGGAATCTGATGAGAATGATCAAGAATGTCCACCATCTCCTGCCGATGACGGTGTCGATGAAAAAGAAAACGAGAAGGAGTTGGAGAAAGAGATAGAAAAGGAAAAAGAAAATGAAAAAGAAATGGAAAAAGAAAAAGAGAAGGAAAAAGAAAAAGAAAAAGAAAAAGAAAGAGAAAAGGAGAAAGACAGAGATAGAGAGAAAGAAAAAGAAAGAGACCGAGAAAAAGAAAAGGACAAAGACAAAAGAAGAGACCGTGATAGAGATGTCAAAGAGGTATGTTTTAACTTTGAGAAATTTAACCATTTGAAAAATTTAATAATATTAAGATTGTTTTGTTACAATATATTAAATGTAAAATATATCATATAATAATTAATTCATATTATAGTATGACGAAGATAAAAAAAAATCATACGAACGAGAAAAAGCTTTACTGGAAAAACGATTCAATTTGCCTGAAGCTCCACACATAGTTGTTCATCCTTCGAAAACGGCAAAAAGCGGGAAATTCGACTGCACTGTTATGTCTCTAAGCGTATTACTAGATTATAGACCAGAAGATACAAAGGTACCTAATTTTTCTAGGCACGAACGCATTTTAAAATTTTAAAATAATAACACAACAATTTTATTTTGTAGGAACACTCTTTTGAAGTTTCCTTATTCGCAGAACTTTTTAACGAAATGTTGATGCGTGATTTTGGTTTTCGTATTTACCGATCACTATTTTCTCTACCTGAAAAACCAAAAGAAAAAGAAGAAGAAAAGAAAAAAGATAAAAAAGATGACAAAAAAAAAGAGGATGATAGGAAGTCATCTAAAAAAGATGATAAAAAAGACGAGAAGAAAGCCGATAGTTGTAAAGATAAAAGAGATGATAAAGATACCAAAAGTAAAAATGACGATAAAGATAAGGATAAAAACGACGAAGAAGATGATGACGATGATGATGATTCAGATGTAAGTTTCTATCGGAAAAGTAAAATTAAGCCATACAATTTTTTCGATAAAAGTGATAAATAATCTATAGTCAATCCATCTTTACATTTTTGCTATTACTTCTAGGATGACGATTCGGTAAGGGATGGAAGACGAGATAAAGATAAGGATGGCAAAAAAAAGCGGGTCAAATTATACACTCATGATCCCTACCTACTTTTGTCATTTGTCTACTTTGATCAGACTCATTGTGGTTACATTTTTGATAAAGATATTGAAGAGTTAATATACACCCTAGGTCTAAATTTATCCCGCGCACAAGTTCGGAAACTAGTCCAAAAAGTTGTCACAAGAGATTCATTACACTATCGTAAATTAACTGATAAAGTTAAGGACGATGATACCAAGGATGTGAAGAAAGATGATATTGATAATGGTGATACCATTTCCAAAATAGATAACGAGGAGGAAACGCTTAAGTCTTTGGCTTTAGGTAAAAAAAATTTATTATTAAAAAATATAATTTAAATTCAAAATTCAAAATAAAAATATTAAAATTTATTATAGGCAACAAAAAATTACTACCAGTATTTATCGGAAGCGGGCCACCATCAAAACGTGCACGAGGAGAGGCTGGCACAGATGACGTAGAGATGGAATCTGTACCGGACGGTTTTATCATGTTTAAAGGTTCTTTAATCGATGTCGAAAAATTGATTAACCAACTTAAAAGATCGGAGAGTGCTAGAGTAGAAACAGAGAAAAAAATGGTGGAAATACAACATGAATTAACGACACTCAGTGAAAAGTCATCGAAACAAAGCAGCAGTATAAAAGATCTATCCGAGGACTTGAAAATGTATAAAGATAGATTGAGAGGATCAGACGATAAAGTTAAAAAAATATCGGTATGTAAAATCATATAAAACTCATTAATAATTCGATCAATACTTTAAAATTTATTGTATTTGCTTTATATTTATTAGACTGAAGCATATTCGTATCAAACAGCTTTGAAAAATATTTGTCACATTGCTGGAAAGTGTTTACAAGATAATAAGAAAGTGGAAATAGTTGAAATTAAAGACGAGAAAAATAGCAATGAGCTCAACGGAACTCCAAACGAAAATAAATCCAAAAGCGATACTCGGTGGAGTGACAATAAAGTTACTGTAAAACGAGAAATCTTTGATTGTGAGAAGGACAAAAAATGTGACAATAAAGCTCTCGGAAAGAAAGAGCTAATAGACGATGATAAAGATAAAAAATGAATTATCATTGTTATTGAATAAATGATGTTTAGCTTTTAATTCGCGTTTTGTACCACTTTACGCAACTAAAGTCATTTTTATTCAAGTTACTTTCATGGAGTCGATGAATGCAATTTCATCAAGATTAATTAATCGTGACAAAAAAATTAAATCAAGGCTTTTGTTGCTAATTGACATTATTTTTTAACAATTAGATTAAATGAATAATGTATTTTGACGAAAAATGTTTTTAAATGTCATTTATAATTGAGTTAATCGATCAATGTATTTATATACATTTTCATTGTTTTAGTTTCCACTTTCGAGAATACAGCTTATTTTAAGCGTGTTTTTAATGTTTCAAATTATTCTAGTTTTTTTATATAAAACTAATTTACTTACCAAATTTTACTAAATACAATGCGTTTACGAATAAAACAACTTATTTAAATAGTATATTCTGATTATAGTTTTTTTTAAAGAATAACCTAAAAAAGTATTCAAAATAGGAAAAGGATATTAAAAAAAATAAATTGAATAATTTTTCATTTGCAAATGTGATTTATTTACTCATCTTGCAGTTTATATTTGAGACTTTGCCAAATGGCACATTCATGAGTTTTATTTTTTATACATGATTAAATTTCGGATGCATTGAAAATCAAATTTACAGCAATTCATATCTTATTCATTATCCATGCTTTTTACATATTCCTTCAAAAATCTCAGTTTTTAATGACTTAAAAAAAGTTTTTTAGTCACTCAAACAACTTGTGTTCCCTCATTTGATGTTAACTGGATTTAAGACTACCAGTAATTTACTTTACATAAAAATACCATACTAAGTATTCTTACAATCAACATATTTACATAATTACTTTCTTGAAAATAATTTTTTGGCTGCTTACAAGTTTAATAGTGGAGTGATGTTTTCTTAAAACTTGAATGTTGCTACTAATATTTTTCGTAAAAATCAATGAAATCATTTAGCATTTAGCTAGTCTCAGCTGCACATAAACATTTACATCACTCTCATATAAAAGTCTCACTCATTCAAAAAATTTAAATCCTCTTTATCATTTTGGAAAGCACTCGATAACGTATTATAATTTCAAAAATATGCTCATTAAAGACTTACTTTTGAATTTATCATATTTTAAGTACTTTTCCAATAGCTACTGAGTATAGCCATAATAGTAAAGACACAAATCATTAAACTATGTAAGTACTCTACTGAATTCATAATGTAAAAATCACTCTTCCAATCATTCACAAATACTGATGAATTATTTACCTCTATTGCGTTCTAGTATACCGAAACTCAAACGATAAATTAGAAAAGATACATTGCACTATCAGAGCGACTATGAATAAATAGGAATCTGAATCATATATCTAAAAGTTATAATAAAAATATTAATTTCGTAATGATAAATAAAAGAATTTGATCGTTTCGTCGCATGTGATATTTCCATACGACACTAACAGGCACGCATTTACAAATTTTTTCATTAGTAAATAAATTTGAATTTATTGTAGGTACATAATCGAAGATTCGCTCGATAAACTATATGTACACAACATAGCGAAAATATACCTAATATAGGAGATTCTGATCATTCTTCAACTGTCCGCTGATGCCTGAATAACAAAGTCCGTTTTTTAATAAATAACATGACAGTTCAAATAATGAAAATAAAAACTAAATTACAATTTACGATTTAGATATGAAATCGTTGGAGTCAGAAATAAACAAAATTTCTTTGTTCCACTGTTATCCAGTCATCAGCGCGTTTAACAAAATAAAAAATCAACAATTTACAACGTAGATACTACGATCATAGAAAATCTCTTTCCCCAAAAGGTACTTTGATACTATTGTTGGCGATCTAGCGTCGAGGAGCCGAGTGGGCGCGAGCCTTCGGTATCCCTGCCGCGGCTGTCGTTCTTTTTGCTGCTAACGGTGGCGTTGGTAACAGCGATTTACGCATTTGTGGGCTTTCAGGCGATTGTAGCGTTTTCACGGGCCTAGGGTACTGCAACCTCTGTAGACTCGGTAGCGACGACCTCATCGGTTCTTGGATTCGTGTGGGTATCGATTTCTGCTGCCGCGGCATCGGCGGTGACGATCTCGGCGTTGAACTTCGAGTCGACGACCCGTTCGAGCTGAAACATTAATCATGGTAGATATTTTATCATTTGAAACAAATTTTTTGTATCTAATAAACATACGACTAACGAAACTTTTAATTTACAATACTCACTATGTTATCCTATTTAAGATAGCATGAAACATAACATTTCGTAAATCGATTATCATTTTATTTTTATTTTTATTAAATTATGTACAAATACTAAGGCAATCTCAACTACTTTTCACGTACTAAATATAAATTTATTTATAAAAATCAGTACTGTTATGAACATTGAACAAATTTTTACAACGATGAGGAAAATTTTTCAACTTTATCGGTTCAATGTGCTTAGAAAATTCAAGTAGAAAAAACTATTAGAAAAAGAACTAAAATCTAGCTCATGTCGAATAGACTACAAGTCCAAGAAATTGTCGCTTGAAGTCATTCTAAGTGCATGTACAAAAAGGCATTAAGAGTAATAAGTAACACGTAGCCCATAATCAAGTCACAAAAAGTGACACACTCTACCTGACCGATCCAGTTTCTGCTTAATATCCAGAAAAAAATGGCAGCATTGCAGAAGTTCAATGTTTTGTCAATAATACTCAATGAAAAAAGTGACATAGATAACTCACCTCGCGAGCGATCCAGTGCTACTACTATTGTTTGACAGTGGCGGTAGCAAGGATGCTGGCCGCAATTTTTCCGATGGCGTGCAGAGGCTTTCATCCGGTGAATATCTGATACCCTGGATCCTGCCATGGTGAAGCTGATACTCTTGTACATCGGCTTTGAGTTTGAAAATCTCCGCATCCTTCTCTTGCAGCTTTGCTTTGCAAATTTGGACTTGCTTTTTCAACTGGAGCACTTCGTCGTTGTCCAATTTCACGTGTGCGCTATCGGGGGTGGCCGAGCTGAGCCTCCTATGAGCGGAATCGCTAACTGGAGTTTGCGTCGAAACACTGACTTTGACAGGATGATGGCTATCTGTGGAGCTTTCGGAGCACGTCGTTGTACCCATGGTATCAACTGTGTCCTCCAAGCTGGGCTCAATCAAGTCGGAGAGACCATTCTGCACCTCGAATGGGGTGAGAGGGAAATTCTGAAGAACGAGAATAAAATCCATCAGATACGATATCCCAAAGGTTTCGGATGAAATTTTCTTTTTTTTTTCGTGAGTGCAACGACCTACCCTCGTCAACCCGTTCTCTCCAGGCTGGATTTTTGATTGGTTGCGAGTTGAAAGAAGCGTGCATTGGACACACACACACACAGAGCAAATAAAAATGAATGTAAACAAAACGTAAACAAAAGTTTAATTCGAATGATGGAAATAAAAATGAACATAAGCTGACAAATACAAATATGAAATAAAAGTAAATGAATCGTCACAATTCTTACCTCCTGAATGACCCGTTTTAATTTTAATATTATCGTCTTCATCGTAACGATATCGTGATAGCAGTTGTTCAAAGTCGTGCGATCGATCGTGACCAAATCTTCATCCCTCGGACTGCTGATGTCCAATGGTATGGGCAGTTTCGTACCGATTTGTGTTGGTGTTCTCAGCGGACTGTAAATTTGTCGAGATCTTGTGCTGTCGAGCGACCTCGGCGAATCGGTGCCCGAACGGCTGTTGAGCTGTTGAAGTCGTGATCGAGAATTTGCCAAGCTGTGGAAAAAAAGTTACACGAATTATAAGAAGTTGAACTAAATGAATAGAATAAAAATTTAAACGAGTATATAATCGCAAATTCGACTGAGCTATAAAGGAAATCTATCGCACCGCTCGCACTCGGCTAGACGCAGACGAGCTTTCGACGCGGCTATGATGTCGGACATCCTCATTCTTCGAGGCAGCAACGTCGGCGAGCCATTGACTGGTGTCGTGCCCTCCGAGGATAATCCTGAATCTTTATTAGGATCTTCGGGTATTGGCAAGTTCAGATCGGGGCCAGCTGCTTGGGGTACGCGTGCTCTCGACGTAGTGGGCAGCGGTATGCCACTACGGCGTTTCGCACCTTTGTTACTGTCGTCCGAACCTGACATGCTTGTTTTTTCACTTTTGCTCTTTTACCAAGGTATTCTGATCTTGCAAGCTCGAGGTCGAGGTTTTCACGCGCGTGTAAAACGATTCGACGTTAGTGTGGATCGCCAAATTCGGAAAATTTAAATTTGTCCCAAGTGCAGTGTCGCGTCACGATTGTGCAATTGGCAATCGTATAATTTTAGAAAACAGCTTTCTCTTTCATGTCTCAAAAACAATCATTTTTAATAATTCACTGACACCTTTGTACTTTTTCATTCAAGTAGATTCGTTCATTTACATCTTTCGCGGTCATGATTCGAGCTCAAGGTCGACGATTACAGCTTGCAATTTCATCACAATGCAAAGTGCGTAATATGTTCCACGATGATTCAATCCGTTGAAGCGAGCGAGCAACAAATGTCACTTCCTGAACACTGCCGAGCTTATCACGCCGACATGCGAACTAAGATTACATCCCTCGAGTCCGACCATCTCAGTATTAGCTATTCGTCACTGTGATATGTTTGTCTAGAATTTCTAGAAAACTAAATATTTTGATGATCATAGCGTCAATTGATCCACAGGAATGATATATATTTCACGAAACTGACGTGAGAGGATATTCCATTATGCTCCACTCTCGTGACATTAAGGCACAACCCTGACTTGGTCCTACTTTGACTTGACGATCGTACACGGCTCGTAAAATACTGTATCTAACGCTAGAATCGAATATTTTAAATAAAAATATACAATCGATCGAAATTTACAAAATCTTCGACTCGAGGTAGTCTCGCGAATATACGTATGATCCTCCGACGACGAGGGTATAAAACGTCGTCGGTCAGAGGACGCGCGCGCAATATCGAAGCCGCGCAAGCGCCAAAGTTTTGGCTCAATACCATTCCGTCGACGACGTTGTGTGTCTATTCTATAAAAACCTTGTAAACGTGGGCGTGAGCCTTTCCTTCTCGTCTATTCCAAAATGAAGTGAGATTAATATTAAATGAAATTAAGAGCATGTTTTTATCGTTAATGAAAAACGAGCTTTTTCAATTTCGATTTTTATCAATATCATTTAAGAACAATAACCGCTTGGCGATTGGCTAATTCTGTTTCGTGTCTCGATTGCCAGCCTCGATTTGCGAGCAAGGGCTGCGACCCGAAAAGATAACGCAGAAAAAAACACATTTCAATCGTTGCAAAGCCTATTTAAGAACCGAAATTGGAGGGGAAACAGCAAATTCATTGGAAACAAGCCAACTGCTCGCGTGCAACTCGTATATTTTTCGTGATGCTTACGATTGTAAAAGAAACGAACAATAATTAAAAGTTGGAGATATACAGCAGGAATTTCGTGCCAGATAGGGTAATTTTGTTGCGAATTTACAAATTAGAACAATGAAGTACGGAGGAAGCGTCTGCGTGTATATTTAGAACAGCAGAGATTAGAGGGCGAGCGGAGATGCGTGATAGACGAGCGTGTCTTTCTCTCTGCAGCGCGTGTCTTCCGACGCGTATACGGGTATTTTTGGCGGTCATGGTTCTCGAAAGTGGCAAACGGCAGCTTCGTCAAGTGAGAAAAGTAAAGTAATTTTTGCCTCTTACCAGCGTCCAGAGATAAAAAGCGCGCATTCGAATCGTAAAAGCAGATTTGTACGTTTGAAAAACGCTATAAATAGTGTGCCGATATGCTAAATACCGGTCATAAAAGTGTATCGCTGCGGCTCGAGCGGAAGCAGGATAAAAGAAAAAAGCCCGTGTCGTCACTGTCATTTTAGAAAAATCTGTTTCACCCAATTACTCGAGTCGAGAAATCGACTGCGTGTTGCACACCTTTTGCTCGATCTAGAGCACGCCCCTGATTTATTTAATTCGACGGCACACGTGAGAGAGTCTATTTCCACGTTCATCTCCCGTGACACACGTGCGCACGCCAACAGAACGTAGATATTTTTTTCAGTAGTGATCATACGTCGATGGTTGCGCGCGATGCGTTACGTAAAATCAGGATGCGACTGGCCGAAGACACTTTCTATTTCTCAAATGTATGTGTCCAATTTGCGATATTACGCAGCCGAGGAAGTCGATTCATAAGCGTGCGATGTAATCGGAAAAGCTGATACGGACGGTGGCGCGATGAAAGTGCACGCGGCAAAGATATACACGCGTGCAGCTAGGTATAATCAATGAAAAAAAGGAGCAAAGACGAAACGCTCTGATAAGCCGCATAGTTTCCCAGTAGCCGAGACACTGTCCTACATGATTCGGGCGCTTCTTCGAGTAGAAATTTCTCAATCGAACAATCGCCGAATCACTCTGGAAATTCGCGCTGCAGCTGTGTGAGCAGCCAATCTCGATGATGAATGTCGAGCGGCTCGGGCGGCAGTCGCGCTACACTGCTCGGCACGGGATTTTTTTTAAAAGAAAGAAAAAACCAAGCACTTGATTATTCCTAGCACAATTCCATTGTTTGTCCCGCGCGGTGCGCTCCGTGCGCACACATACACAAACACACACACATACTCGCGTGTTACATTTGAATTTTGAGCTCGCCGATGTAAATAAGCCTTGCGCCTTTTGAAGTTATAGACCGTGTATAATAATAATCAAGAGAGCGTTACCTTTATTCTTGTTAGCGTTTCGTTCATTGTAATGAGCCACTGCGCAAGCCATGAGAAAATTTCCTGCGAGCCTATTTGCGCGCCTGCATAAGTACGTGCATGTGGCAGCGGCTTTCCCTACTATATGCGGCTGTGAGGACGCGCGCGCAAGATTGAACAAAAAAAAAATTGAAAAATATTTCGGATCCCCTTGCTCGAAATGCCTTGACAAGGTCGCGCCAATGCAAGGTGCATTTTGATCCGCTGCACTTTTATAATAATAGTCAAGGTTGTGGCGAAAAACCGGTTTTCATGTGTGCGCGCGTACTGTGCGTTACCATTGTAATTCGATCGACTGTACCGACGCAGGAAAACTTGGTACCCTTTTATGAGCTGATTAATAACAACATTTGATTACTAAATATTCTAAACAAGATTTATTCATAATATATAGCCTCGACTGCGATTACAATACATCCTAGGTCGTAAATTTTTGCGAAGACAAATTTTCATCCATAATTAGTACAAGTCGAATGAATTCAACATTTTTAAAATTAGTTATCGCCACAAAAAAAACTTGCATCGCTTCTTTCTCTCTATACAGTCTCGAATGCACATGAAAATGTTTATGTTTTATTTGTATCAATATTAATATCAAAGCTCGAGTTGAATTTTTCATTTATTTATCGTCTAATAAAATTACATCTAGATCTATCATATAAAAAAGTCGATACTACTTGCTTTTCATGTGCATTTTTCTCAACGATATGCATTCCAACGATACACACATTCGCACGGCTCAAACCGATCAATTAGTTAATCAAACGATCAAAGCTAAGTCATAATATTTACCCATTAAGTGGAGACGTGGTATTTTGATAGTGCGAACTGGCGTGCGTTCCGGTGGGAGACGCCGACGTGACGTTTGCCTTAACAAATGACGCTTTTCTCGCCTCCATTACGAGTTCATCATTGAGTTTTCTCATCGGTATAACCATGAGAATGTACAATTTGAATATCAATGCACCATTAGTTGCATACAACGAACGCACTTTTTACTTTTTTGTTAAGTTCACCGAATATTCTTTTTTAATCCACTTTTTTAGATATTGTAATTTTTACGTCAAACACATATTGTAGCCGCTCTACGGAGACAATATAATCGTTACTCATTTTTTTCATGGTTTTTATATTTTTTTTTGTTCGCAATGCAAGAGAATATATAGCATTATTATGCACTAATATTTGAGTATGTAAGATTTGAGTATATTTGACTGATTTATGTATAATAAATTTTATAATACGTTGAAATAATTCAGACTAAATAATTTAGAAAGTCATTTTCTGTATATCACCGAATTCGCTGATTTATATTTATTAAATTTTTCTTTCACCTACGTATAATAGAGCTTAGTTTATATTGATGTCTTTTTTGAAAGACAAGTAATTTAATTGGCAATTTTTTTCGATATATTTGGAAGAGGACAATTTAAGAATTATCAGATATTAATGAGTGTAAAACTGGGCGGAAACGATCGCAATTTTTTTCTTGATAAGACTAGAAAGTTAATATTTGTAGACAATTTTCATAACTGGACGTATCATAAAAGTATATCTCGTGCGATAAAATTGATATGAACAATTGAACAATTGAACAGTTTAGCTCATAAAAGCTCATTGAGCTCGTTCAAAATACATTATTAATTACAAAAACAGCGACCGTTAACGTCTCAACATAATAACTGGGCAAAACAGCTCCGGACTATTCTTCTTTGCAAAATTTTCTCGTATTCGAGATACTCCGTTCTCCCCGGAAATAAGCAAAAAACAAAAAGAAGACACTGAGATTTGCTCGTGCCGAGAAAACCAAAAAAAGACGCATTCACAGATCTCATACTCTCCCTCTTTCACAAACATATATACCCTCTATTTTGAGTTTATATTCCGAAATAGTCTCTCTCTCCTTTGCACGATGCGTATTTATATATAAATACATAGCACAACGCTCGACGCCGCTTGTACAAATATATATGCTACATACAAATATATATATGTGTATCCATATAATATTGTATGTATAATATTATTTTTCAAGTTTTATGATATATTTTAAATGAAAAGATCTTCAGAGATGCCACTTATTAACTCCTAAGTAGAAGTTGCATGGGAAGCAGAAGTGGTTGTTGCAGAAGTTTCAGCAGCAGAGATCATTTTTCCTTTCATGATCCTTTGTTCTGTCTTGTTCTCTCTCTGTCTCTCTTTCTCTTTCTTTCTCTCTATCTCTCTATCTTTTTTGTACTTGAAGAATAGTCGCAAAAATTTAAAAAGCTTTGTTATTTAAATAATTTTACACTCGATTCTTCAAGTGTAATGTTGTTGCTTTTGAGGAAGAGAGCCTGCAATGATGGATACAAGACACAAAGTTTGACTTTTTGCTTCCTGCATATTATGTGATTTTATCGACTGACAAATTATCCGCGATGACAAAACTCGATAAAATTTAATAAAATACGCACACAATTTCTAATGTAAAATCGTTCAAACGGCTACTACTTGAAAAACACGATTATCAACACAGTAGTGATTTTTTTCTCAATGAATGTCACTTGAGATTAGTTAAAAAATATCTACTGGACGATACTTGTATTTGATATCTATTTACAGGAGAGAGAAAGTATAGGTGTATGCGTATATAATGGCTCTAAGGAGAGATTCGCATCAAAACTTATAAGATGTGACGGTACTAATCATGCATAGGAAAAGTTTGTACTTAAATAAAAATACATAAGCACAAGAGCCTGACTAATGCGCAAAAAAAATTAAAAAATTAATGATTCAAACGATACTCTCTATCGCTTATCATAAATAATAACGCGCTATATTCTCTTGCTTTGCGATTCGAAAATTTTCACTTGTTTTAAGAAAATTTCAACGACACTGATTCAACAATATGCATGTGAATCGCAATTTTTAATCGACAAGGAATTATAATTTGCGAAGCGTGACAAAAAACATTACTGAGCATAAAATCCCGCGTAGTTTTACTATTCTTTAGAAAGCTGCAGCTTTTTCTCCATCGTCTGGCGCAGATTTCATGCTCATTTTTTATTCGTTATCGATCACAGCTCTGCTCGATACGCACACATAGACACTCAACACGACTCCTTGTAAATATACACTTGGAAATTTTCACATAACACACAAAGATGCACGCGCACGTACACTCGAAAGCACCAAATTATTCACCAGCAAAAGCGTAGAGGCACACGTGCGAAAAAGTGTCAATTATGAGGCTCAAACGCGAGAAGAAATCGGCACGAGCGATGCGCTTAGCACGGCAGTAAAATGCCGACTGACTGCTCGCAGAAATGTGTATATAACATTACAACAGGCCACGACCACCGACCGGCTGACTCTCTTAGGCCTATTATACGTACGCTTTCGAGCGCGGCGGCGTTGCAAGATGGCTTTTACAATTTACATGTAATATTGCGCAGAGTTGTGGGCCAGATTATCCACGGAGGAAAATGGAAAACGTGCCGTACCTCGCGCAAATGAGTCAAAGTTTTGTTTTTAGCGGACTCCGATGCGACGATGTATCGGTGACCGTGTTACAAAGAAAAAAACAAGGTCTGAGCGATTGAGCAAGTCGGCTTGGCTTGAATGAGAAAAAAACACGATGAAGTTGTACAACTACTAGAGTTGAAACCGTGTTAAGAAAACGATTGTATTCACGCCAGCACTAATAAAATTTGGATATAAGGGCAGCATTCGTTGCCAAGCTTTTGTTCGTTCCTAGAGACGAATCCCCAGTCGAGGGGGAATTCCATTCGAACAAGGGGAGAAAGAAAGTCGATGCTCGTATTTCTGCGAGGGTGGAAAGTCGTACTCCAATAAACGCAGCGGAGGTCGAAGAAGACGCGTAAGGCTTCTTTGCACTGAGAGATCATTTTCGTTAATCCAGCCGTCTTCAATGAGTAGGAAAAAAAACGAGTCATGTTCAAATTAAGTTCGTAATAGAGCGATAAAAAATCATAATAATCGACGCGTTGAACGCGTGCTACAACTACACATGTCATCGCGAATAAGTTCGAATAATATGACTCATACGCACGCCACGAGAAGTAAATATTTATATCTAAAGTGAGTAAGTGGGTTTGTAAGTCGGGTCTGCTAGAACGGGACTGACTCGTGCTGCCATCGTAAAGTCGAAGAGGTACACTACGTTCAGAGTAGCAACTGCTGCAATTGTAAATTTCGCAAGGCTACGTAATATCTTTAGTCGATAAAATAGTCTGTTTCCTTAATGCTTTTATACAAAGTAATCTAATCTCTACAATTTTATTATGATGTAATATTGTACTAAAAGTGGTAACAATTTATCTTAAAATATTTTAATTCGTGACTCAGAAATCTATCTAAGTTCGAGTTATGAAATCATACTATATGGAATTAAAACTTGTCTGGTTGGAAGCAAGTTACGAGAAGAAAAATTGGAAATAAAATGTGCCCTATCCAGTCTATGTATTTCATGGAACTAGTAGCGCGAATGACTCATGATAAGACACGCGTAAAATAAATGTTGCACAAAATATATACGAGATTTTATGGGTAGATCGTCTGAATCATTTTTTGTAACAATTAAACATTTAAAAAAATAGACAGGTGCAACATAATGACTTATATATATTGGGTTATAAAAATAAAAAACATGCAAGCGAAAAATAAACTGGAAACAAACCACGTAGAATAACTCAGTCGAATTGTACGATTAATATTGCAGCGCTGAATATATATTTCATAACATTAAAAAAGAAGATTATACGTACTCAATTTCATTCTGATTATTTCTAGCCATCTCGTTGATGTTGTTGTTGGCAATATTTATAATGGAATCCAGTTGCAGCATACTAGTGGCATCTTCGAGGCTTTGCATGACATTTTCGCACGAGTCAGCTTCACTGGGCTCGTAGTCCATCATGAGATCGTCGGATGCGATCGAGTCGCAGGAAGACAGGCTGTCGGCAATTTCGGTTTTTCGCGTCAAACGCGGACTGCTCTCCACGCTCTCGTTTGCTTTGACCTCGCCATTTTTGTTTTTTATGCAAGCGACAATATCGCTGATCGTAAGACTGTCGTTGAAATTCATGTCTTCGTTATCAGCAAACATGAGGCCAGGCTGGTCTTCGATCTCGTCGTCGAAAAAGTCTTTCCCTTCGGACATGCATACGGACACGGATAGGCAACCGGAATTCGACGATACTGGGCTCTCCGCATCCAATTGTTCGGCCTCGCAGTTGTCATTTGCGTTGTCCAAATCAATCTCAAGCTGCGTAAAGGTGCTGTTTGGGCTGTCGAGTCCAGTAAAGTTTTCTAGCGGCGAAGTCTCATCATCGATCATTGCAGTAGTGGTGGCCGCAACCGCAGCAAATGCCGGATCCTCGATACTCAGCAGCACCGATCTCAAAGTGCTGCTCGGCAATGCGCCGGTCTTTGCTACGTTCGTTATAGTTTGGAAGTGCTCCGATGTACTTTGTGATACTGTGTTAACAGCTTTCATCGGAATATCGTCGATTCTCTGAATCTGGGGCTCTTCTTCGCTCGATGGCACTACCATATCGAATAAGGCCTCTCCGCCATTGCCAAATTGGTCTTGCTCATCGGAGCTAGACGATGTCGACTCCGGTATTTGCTGACTTTCTGTCATAGCCGTCATTGCTGCCATAACCGCTTGATAAGCAGATCCAGTGAATTTTTCTGATTTTTTAGCGTCTTTCATAACTTTCACCTCTTCGCCGCAGCCCTCCGATGATGCCATTGATGAAGTCATTGATACCGTAAGCGATGAAGTCTTCGACAATTTATTATCTTTTGCCATTTGCAAATTTTTCTGATACAAGTTAGTTCTCTCTCGTACTGTACCAGTGGTCCGATTAACTTTAGGGCTCGAACGGCCTACTGGAATAGGCAAGCACAGATCTTCGGGCAATGGAATGACTGATATTTCTGTTATTGTATCGTCTTCGTCCGTGTCCACAACGTCAAACTTTTTTCCTTTAACGACGACTCCAAGCTTTCGGACTTTTCTGCGAGCCGAACGTTCAATGGAATGCACCCCATTTTGGCTACCGAGACCGGAATCTTCCGTGCTGGACCCATCTTTTGAACTGCAATACGACGTGCCTGCCCTTCTGCTTTGATTGACTGCTGTTTTTGTAAATTTTGCCATCCTTGCTACTTGAGGCCTAGGCAAATTCGACGACTGAAGTGTATATTTGGCAACTACCGTATCAGTAGTCCTTTTGTTGAAATCAACGTTGTTATTCTTATAATTATCGTTCACCAAGCGTTGATTTATTGGCGATGACTGAGGTCTCATCGACTGCGGATACGACCTGCAAGTGGTCTGATCCTTTCGAACGCCATAGCCAGTCTTTGGCTGTTGAATGTTTTTAACAAAGTTATTGTAAGAAATGTCGGTTACTTTGTCGGTGAACCGTTGATTGGGAGTGCGAAAACCAAATCTGTTGGTTCGTAAAGGCACACCACTGGCTTCTTTTTTCGGTGGAGCTAGCCGCGGAGTGGATCGTCCCGACGCCGAACCAGGATGACGAGTTGGACCAGTAAAATGAAAATCGTCCTCCATTTTTTTCTGTTTGTAACGATCTGGTCCTACGGATTTTGAGCGTGATGCCTCCTTACGACCGATCGGTATGGGTAAACCGCTGTTTGTATTCTTTTTAAGCGACATATCGGTCCCCTTGGTAGAATCTTTTTTCTTGTTAAGAATCTGTAAAATAATATATTAATTAAAATACTATTCGCGAACAAATTCAAGAAAATTATATAATTGTATAGAGGAATTATGTTGTTTTGTTTGAATTTAAAATTTTCGTTTGCTTTGGGTACTATACGTATAACTTATGCACATCATCAATCAATCAGTGATTGAAACATTTTAATGTCGTTTCAACTACCCTGATAATCTTAACTTCTATCTAAAGAATAATAGGAAAGACAGATATGAATAAAAAAGTAATAGACGAACTGAGACGATTGACGTTTTTAGAAATATATTTCCATTATAATTATTAACAAATTAAAATAAAAAAAAAACGAAACGAAACTGATACCCATGAAACAACACCCCAGAATTTTAGGCGGGTATCAAAGACAAATAGAGATAAAAAATTGAATGGAAGAGAAAATCACTTTTTCACTGCTACTATATAACATAAGGTAATAATCAATAATATCTATTTTAAGTCACCACGCTGATGAGACGCTCAGAAGTCATCCAAAAAAATTTGCCACGCATTAACACTTATACATTTGGAATACACATATGAGAAAAAATGGCGATTTCACTTTAATTTCTAAAAAAGTGATAAAATCATTTCACTTGCGTCACAAATGTACGCCTTAACAACCTTACCGCATAGCCAGTTTTCTCGACTTCAAAATCATCCTGACACCGAAGTCCATAGCGAAGTTCTTCGTCATTTTCGTAATCCCACCTGGACGACCTCGCCATATTTGATGTATATCTTACCCGGTTAAACAATTAACTCTTAGTTCTTCAAAAACGTACATATCCTCTAAGCTTGGAGCGATAATTAACCAAATACGGGCATGATGCAAAAAATGATCAGCCACTCGCCAGACCGGAGTAAGCGAGACAGACGACGTAAAAACTTCGCAGAGGAGAACAGGCGATTGATCGGTACAACTGCGCCGGCGCTTTCATTGAGGGTGGGCGAATTGCGTCCGTAAAGGGGTGGAAAGTGAGGAGGCGATAGAGAAATTGAAACGTAGTTCCCAGAGCTCCAGGGTTGAGCTCAAGAAGAAATGCGCTTGCGCTGCGCAGCTTTAACGTTCAAAGGATCCATGCGCAGAAAATCTCAAAGGCAGGATATTTATTCGTACGTGTGTTATTTTCATAATATTCTGCAATCAAATTTTTTACGATTGGGAATTTGAATATTAACAATCAGACGAAGACCTCACCAATTTACAGCTTCTTTAAAAACATTGCCGAAGCGAACAAATCAAGAAATTATAAATGGCTAATATATAAATTTATTCAATATTTAAACTTGCAGAATCCATACAGCCAATGATATAATGAGTATTTTATGAAATTTTTTATAGATTACTCATATTTAAAAGGCTTTAATACCTCTTCGAAAAATCGCACGCCAAAAAACTATACCTTAAATTTTTGAAAACCATGTTCCAAAATTGATAATTTTTTATCAATATATTGTAAAAAATAGAATTATCAAGATACTAGCCAAACATCGCGTGCATGAAATTTAATATTCGTATCGGGCATCAATTCAAGTAATTTTTATTCACTTGTAACTTTAATTCTTTACAATTATTTTTTAATATTATTTTTAAATAAAGAAATAAAATCAAAAGTATGTTTTTGAATAAGTTTACTATCATTAAAGGGATTTTACTATTTAATTACTGAAATAAAGTCTCGATTATTTATGAAAAAAGCCCCAATACGTAGTACTTGAAATGATCGTCAACAATAAATAATTTTTAAATGAGGAGAAATCGTTGTTTTTCGTTATTACAAGACCTTTTTTAAAACCATGCTAAAACTAAACATTATCACTCATTTTTTAAGATTATTCATGAAAAGTCGTTATAGTGCCTTTAAAACACTATGTACAAGTAGCTAAGAAAAATAGTAAACAGGTACCTGTTTCAAAAAACGGATTATAAAGCTTTCATTTTTATTTTAGAGTTTTGGTGTCTTTTTTACTACAAAGCGCAGCAAAGAAAATGAGACAGCATAAAAGTTTAACTTTAATATTAAGCAGTTTTTTAGTCTAACAGGGTACATCAAGCTGATCCGGAACAAATCACTTTTCTATAAAAGTAAGTAATATGTTGCTGAAAAACCTGGCCTTCTAATTGTAAATTGGGCTATAGGGTCAAATCTCCCAAGACAATATGATTTGAACAATGAAAGCGAGAACAAAAAATCGTCAGATGATTTGTTACAATTACATGTAAATTTAGCGAAGATCGAGAAAAAGGTTGATGAAATTGTAAAAATGTATAAAACAGGTAAACTTGAGAAGGTGCTTCACTTACCAGAATCAGTGATATAATAAGCTGTAATGCGTTTGAGAGCTACTTATTGAAATACTTTTGTATGGAGGGGATCGTGTTTGAGATTAAAAAGTCAAGTTACAAGATAGAAACTAATCGGACGAAAGATTAGAATAAAAAGGATAAAATGCGCCTCATTATAGAATTATCATTTGCTATTGGTTGGACAAGACACACCTTCCACTTTTAGTCGTTTAAAGCACCTGTACCAATAAACCTTTCATATCTTTTGCATTCACAGCGATGTCCAATTTAGAACACGCGCGTTGACCCTTGTTCTCGCACGGGCAATCATGCGTGTCTATGTTCGTTATAGGTTACGTGCGCATCGATTCAATTTCTTTGATTTTTTAATGATAAATTTATAACGTTTATTCGTTAAATTCGTTAAATTGTTTAAAAAAATCAATCATAACAAAGTTCTAGATTAATCAAATAATACTTAATTGGTCAAACTTAAGCGCTCAAATTTACGTTATTCCAAAAAGCAATCAAACTTATAGGTTACTGTATTATCACCTTCATATAATTTATTTTATACAGCAAACAAGGGATTAGTAGCGCATTTGAAATCTATAAGTGATGGCGATAAATGAATAAGCATCTATGTAAATTAGAGTCATTAGAAGTCTCTATCTCAAAACGATTTAACTTTTGTCTAATGAATGACGATTATAGTATGCTTTTTCCTCCAATAGACTTTAAAATTATGATTTTTTAAGTTTAGTGTAGATTAAAAACTTTAAACAAATTAATTTTTAACTTTATGCGTTGATCTGAATGAAATAGTTAATTTGTTCAATGAATATTAAATTTCATCACGTATAGGTCTTCAAAAATTAAAACAACCCCTTTTATTTGAAAATTTGCGAAAGGGATACAATCATTGCAAATAATAATTATTTAAGATGCTATGAACCATAGTCATTTCTGAGTTTTAAGTAAATATTTGACAAGAATGACAATTCTCAAGGAAAAATGCATAATGACGTATGTATATTATAACAAGTGAAAATGTTTTTTGGGTCATTGCCAAATTTCCCTTAAATAAATTTGTAGACGGTCTATGGCATATTCACAGCACTCTTTGCAATGAGACGCTAATGAATCCTATCTTATTAACATGGGCTACTTTCTATCATAATATAACCACGTAAATCGGTATCCATCTTGAAATAGTTGACAGATATATATCTAGCCTCGTGATTGGTTAGTGAAATATGTTTTTTGGCGCTAATTGGTGTTTATTCAACTGTTAAATTTTGATTGAATTATGTTATGAATTTAAAAATGTTGTAAATAATTTGCATCAAACCGGAAAATATTAGCTACGAAGATAAACGGTATTCTTCAAAATTTTATCATAAATTAGTATCTAACGCGCGCACTGATTGGCTAAATTTAATAATTGTAACCAATATATGTTAAGAATAGTACTTTAATAAATTTCAATTGAAAATCTGAATTTAAAATAATATGATCCGAAAGCCCTGCTTTATACATTTTTCAAACATACATATAAAATTTGTAGAGACTGCAGCAAAATATAAAATAAAGGTGTTCAGTGAATGTAAAATACTTTATTTAATCTGTATACTTTCCCTAATTCAATAAAAAATCCTCTTTACGCATGTGTGTTTAGAGTAAAATGAAAGTGTGTTGTAAAAAATGGCTACATGTTAATTATACAATGTGATTTGTTTCGTGTTTTTCATGTTAAAAACAAGAATAATTACCTTATGTTTCGAGGACTTTTTATCCATGATGCGGTCAAATGACGAGTAGCCGGATGCTGCGATGACAGCGCCCGCCTTAGTAGATACGCATTGCCCCATATAGATCGGTTGTTAAGAACCGAATGCAACCTAAAAATTAGACGAAAAATGTTAAATAATCGAGAATACACTATAGGGGCTTTTCTTTTGAAATATACCAAATTGCCCTAGTATACCAAACCCATAGTTAATAATTATCTTATGTAAATATCATATTTAGAAAAATATATCATTTCAAAAAGAGTAAAAGCATAAGAAGATTTAAGTTATTCGATGTGTTAACAAATTTTACTACAGCATTCGACTAAGGTCATTGTACCTATTTTTGCTTATGTCCGTACATTCGCTCAATAATTAATATTAGCAATTTAATTTTGCACAAAATTCTTTTTTGTTTTGAGCTGTTCTTTTTTGTTGTATTGTTTGTATTGAGCCGAACATGTTTAACATAATTATATTACTTAAATACTGGTATCAAGTTTTGTTCTTTTGTAAAAAATTAATTCGGAGTTGAGCGAAAACAGGAGTAGTAACCGTAGTGAACATTTTTCTTCGCCCCGGAAAAGTACACTGGAAGAAATTTTTTTATTCCGACAAGTGAACTGCATTTCATGTAACATAAAAATCCAAATAAAATTTCATATCGCAAAGAAAAAATTGTGACTGTATGATTCTTTGGTTTTTATATCGTATGAAACTCAACTTTTTTGATGCACTCAACAAATTTCATTCATATAAGCACTGCCTAATGTTGTTTAAGGTAATTTTAGTAAGATACATACAGATGAGCTTTTGACCGCCCAGTACTATGCAAATATCAGCGAACATATTTTGCATACAGAAAGTTTTTCTATAGTTAATAATTAATGTACGAGATCTTCCTCCACTGTATTCAAACGATGAGAAAATAGAAAGCAACCAATTAAAAGGCAAATAATAATATGATGGGTTTCCCTAATACCTCCTACATATACACACGATTAATCGTTCATTTCTCTCAGCTACTTGCATATAAGAAACCAAGTGCTTGGAAATCTCGAGTCATGATCACGAGTCTGCGTATAACTAAAATACTTTTCTTCTCACCCTTTCAAGAAAGCGAGAGCTGTGCAAGATTTTGGATACGCGAGTCAGTTGAATTGACTAGCGAAAAATTCACACGTATACAATACACTTATGCACTCAGATCAGATACTCGGCTACACAAGCCTAAACCTCGCATTGCTTTATATATATATATATATATAATTTTATCCGATAAAACGTCTGAATGAATTAATTAGTTCAATTGATGATTATGTAAATAAATGTAAAATGGATACTTCTCTTGACGAGAGATAAAATCATGACTTGATGTTTCAATTGACTTTTCACATGAATAAATGATCGAAATTTTTTCGCGTCGAACATGTAAAAATAATTACCCAATTTGCAGTTAATAGAATTTTTGTATAATGCTACTACATATTTTAATGGATAAGTGGTCTTCGCTCCTGAATAAATAATAGTGATAAAATTTTTATAAAATAGTTAGCTTTGAGAAATATTATCAACAATCCATATTGACCTTTGGTGCTCGAGCTTTAGCGTGACCGAAGGTCACGTGTAACATAACAAAAAGTAAGACAGAGCTATGGGAACATTACTGGTGGTACCGTTATGCCCTCGCGAGGCCATGCACGACCTATGACATACAGACACTGATCTGCACTATTCATATGGATTTCGTTATTTGAGTTTTGATACACTTGCTACGATGAAGTTCAAAGTCCTCATTAGGTACTCGCAAATGGGAGCAATTTGTTCACTGAAATAAATCCGTTGGCTGCATCAAGTAAAATGCCTTCGTGAGTTTTCAGACTTGATGACACGAGAGACCTGTTTGAGCCGACCAACGGATTTCTACAAGTAAAGAAGATTGTTTTTGTCCCATAGAAATATGAAATGAAATCATCCAACAATTGCAGTTTGAAAAATAGTGGAAAAGTTTAAACGTTTTAGACGAGGTCGTTTAAACAAAAGACGTTTGAATAAATAGTAGTTCATGGATGTATTGTTGTTCAAGTCATTTAAACCTGAATTTCGATCATTGAAATTAATTTTTAATAAAATCATTCTTAAATACAAAAGCTCAGTATATAACAAGGCTTGTATGTGGAAGTTATGCGAGTTATGCACGTAATTTCTCTTTTAATTGTAAAGCCATAATTATTTTCGAGTTACGTAAGTCATGTATGTGCGAGTAACCTCGTCAAAAATATACTTTGTAGCATTTACAAACTATCACTTACATTATACAGGTTTGCGTGTTCAAGTGATATGCTAGTGGTTACGCGCGTGTAAGTGTCGTTTCTGTTGGGCTTTGTTGGTCTCCGTCGACGTTACGCGAATCGAAAAACATAGGGATTACCCGTGTGACAAGGAATTACGTGCGTATATTTTTTACCATACAATGAAAAGAAATGGCGAACCAAATAAACTTTACTGAAACGTACTCGAACTCAAGTAAAAATATACACAGATCGTTAATTCGAAGAAAGGCTTCTTGGTGTTATCGGCCTCTCAGACAAAAATGAATGTTCAAATTTCGCCACTCGAGCATCTCTCGACTGCGGAGCGGCGAAAAGAGAAAATAACGTTTCCATTGCATCTCTAAAAGTGTATGCGATGCTTTTAACGCCGACGCGTGGCAGCCTGCGCCGGTCGAGAGGGCCAGAACAGTTCAAAGTGAAGGCTGTAATAAAAAATTTCGCGGATCGCACGTCGACTCGAATTTTCTCTTACGAAATAACGAGTCAGGATGTGGGAGGATTCAAGATTTAGCCGCGTCGATCGCCGCAAACGAAGCAGAGAGCTCACGATCGCTATCAGTTGCGGCTAATTACATGTACGATGAAGCCGCCGCCGCATTCAAATGACTGATATCTCTTTTATTTTTTTTAACCATAGCGAACGTACCTGAAAATAAACGCTATTATTGCTAACAACAATAATTTCTCCGCCACCATGCGTGTGACCCAATAAAAACCCATAGCACAGATAGATAAAAGAGAAAGAAAAATCTGAACCAACACCAAAGTAGTATAATAGCCATTTCACGTGCAGATCGTTATCGCACCCATATAGTTTTGCCAAATAAAGCTTATTGATAAAAGAGCAAAAGACAGTTGAATCGGTACATGTGCATGTGAGACGGTTAGCAACAACACGACCCAATTCTCATCACGCAGCGACGAGAGAGAGAAAGAGAGAGAAGGGAGATAGACAAAGAGTCAAAGCTTTTTCCAAGATAAGCATCTTTGTGTGTGTGTGTGTGTGTGTGTGTACTCACAAAAAAAATGACGATCCACGCGGATTCTTTTTGCCTCGGTTGGTACTGCTACTGCACTTTTTGGCTGGGACCGCGCGAGCTGTAAATGCATAAGAAATCATGCAGAACGTGACAATGCGTACATGTATACGTGGGTGTCTTTTTTCCTCTTCGCTGAACTTTCGAGATATACTCGAAAATCGTGTTTTGCCCTCGAAAGCCTGTCGGAGCCAAACCGGCGACTGGCCGTATTTTTTCGTCGCACACATCGCTGACGTACAGCATAACGACGATCGATAAGATATTTTCTTACGGACTAATTTTTTTTTACTTCCAAACCTCGATAGGCCTTTAAATTGCAAGTTCCCAATAAACGATTAAGCACGCGCGTATCAGCTGCGATTATTCAACGCTGATAAGAGATTCTCAACTGATTTATTACTACAATGAGCGAGATGAAGGTAATTTTCCAAAAATAAATTGTAATGAGAGCGAGTGAAGATGCAGTCGCTATGTATGATTTCTGGACAGAGACATTATTATGCCGATGTGTAGCCTGGTTCGAAAATAAACACCAAGCTCTAATTATATAAGTCTAACCCCATGCGGAAGTGGCATCCGAAAACGAACATTCGCATATGAGGTAACTGCAGACCTTTACCGACGTGTTGCAGACGTGGGATTGCATTCGTCGAGCAAAAAAAAAATAAAAAAATAAATAAAACTAATGAAAAAAGAAAGACGTTGTCTCTGTCGGGTGCATAGCGAACGTGTCGATCGATACACTTCACGGTCAATATCGCGAGCTCGACGATTTATAAGTACACCCGAAGCAAAATAAATAAGAGTCAGCTGACGTATGGACGCATGTCTCTCATAAGAGGTAACGACGGTCCCACGCATGAATAAATAGCAGCGATTAGGTCTTTATTATGACGCGCGCGCGACATGTCTCCGCAGCGAAGTCGAGAGTCGAGTCATCACACGTGAGAGTATTCGACAATTTGGCCAATGCCTTGAGCTTGCGCGCGCTCGCGACATTTTTCATCGACTCGAAACAAAAGCTTTCGTGCACGTTAAAATGCGAGTATCGATACGATTGCTTCTGCTCTTTTCTCTTCCTTTTTTTGCCAACGTTCGCGACAGTTGCCAGAAACGAAATAACAGCAGCGAGTCGCATCTCTGGCCCATCGTCCGCCCCGTAGCATATGCACGGTGAAAAATAAATCAATAATATAACCTCGCGTCGCGCAACGAACCCTCTTGTTTTTCCAATGCTTATATATGGGCCCGAGTTTATTCGTTGCATAGCTAGATCAACTCTCCTAAGCATCCTTCTAGCGTTCTTCCCTTTCATTTCTCTCTTTCTACGAGGTATACACAGGGGCTCGACTATAAGACTATAAGACGACAAGTAGCAGGTACTCAGCTCGTTGGCCTGTGTATCTCGCGCATTCCAGAGTAAATATAGATATAGAAACTATGCAGTCTCGCTCTCTCACCTTGTCGAATGCTGCAGCAGCCCGTTTTCGAGTCGGTGCAATCCTTCCGTGCAGGATTCATCGTCTCATATCATCGGCCAAAGTCGAGCTTTTTATCCTCGATTCACGCCTCTATTCCCGTATACGAGCTACGGGAAGGACGTATCATCGTTCTTATTCCAAGATACGTCAAAAGTAACTTGTTTCTTTTTTTACTTATTATTATTTCAGTTGTACTCTAGTTACACAAACCCGCACTAATTTGACACTTTGGCACTTGTTTATGATTGTCAATTGGAGAATAAGGGTTCACATTTGCGCGCACTGACACTTGGTAAAAATGAAAACGTATAAAAACGGGGGAGCAGGAGATTTTGTTGTACGAAAATGGAGCTTTGCCGCGGCCACCTGTCGTTATCAATAATTCAGGCTTACGTCCGCGAATAGTACCTATTCAAGTACATAAGTGTTGTTGTTGTTGTTGTTATAGGTACTTTTACTCGAGGTATGCTATGTATCGATGCGCGAAGTACACGCGACGAGCTAAGTGTGCACCGAGAACTGACTCGGATTCGCGAGGCGAGAGGCGGTTGAAGGAACGCGTGTGTAGCTGCCGAATCCCCACCCCGCCGCGCCGCGCGCCATTCGCCACTTTTATACCTACTCTCCTGTAGGTATGTGTACTGCTTTTATATACACTGCTGATTATGACTGTGGGGCTACGTGTATGCCCATATACCTATCACATTTACCTGTCCCAGCGGAGCGTGTAGAAAGGGACCGCGCGCGCGATGGAATTTTTGCCCCCGAGATCTGCGGGATCTGCGGATACTTGCCGCGATTGTTCTACTTAGGTACGTGTGTGTGTGCATTCAGCGACACATGTATTATGCATATGCAGCTCTCGTGTAAAGGACACTCGTCGCGTCTACTTTGCGAATATGCATCGAGTTACTCGTTGTCCGCTGCTGCAATACGATATATACGCAGCCTCGGAGGAAATTCATGCTCTGCGTCGCGCAGCTAGATCGTCGTGTCGCGCTCGCTGCACAGACTCCCATCTCGAGCCACCTGCGGCCGTATGATTTTTCATTTTTTTATCCCTGAGCTGTAAAATCATCTGCCGTTACGCTGCGTTGCCTCTACCACTGTAATTATCGATCTCGACTACTCTCCGGACGATTGCCTCAATTGCGTTAGCGATAATTGCATTTGCTCGCTCGAGACGGCAGCTAGCGTCATCTCGCAGGCGATACTTCAACTTATGTGTTTTGGCGCTCGATGCGCCACTGCTCCGCTTCTGCTGGCTGCAATTCGCAATCACAACAGGTCAACAACTTTCTAACTCCGCGGCTCAGTACTCCAGCTCCGCTTTATCAAACAGACGTCAACTGACTGTTTTTCTACATTATTTTTCCGGCAAAAATGTAGTTTTTATATAACTAGAACCGGTGATTCGAGTCAAATCTGACAGTGCCATAATTTTTACAATTTTAAACCTTTTATCATGTGAGATGTGAATTTGTTTTTATATTTTCAAAAACATATACAATTTTTATCTTTTTATCAATTATTATCGTACAGATTTTATATTAAACTTGCCAAATCATGTCTGAAGTTAAACTTTCATTAGAAGAAGAGTTGCCCTCTCCAGAGCTATTTTCTGATCCAGAAGTTGATACAAATGTGTCTGTAGCAGGGACAACCGATGAAAGTAAGTTTTTTGCATACTTGGAATTTGTGAACAATCGTTCATTTTTGATATTTTGAGTAGCAAGCTCTACATCTGCTGGTTGTGCTGAACCAGATCTTGCCTGTGATGACACTGATTGGAAAGGTATAAGTTTAGAGGAAATTTATAAGCATCATGGACCTTTCGATTGGAACCACCTACCACCAATACATCCAACATCAAACCATACAGTTCTCTTTGAGGTGATTTCTTTAATTTATTTATTGATCTTCTTCTATAAAATTAATTAAACTAAGCATTAAATTCACAGCTGCCTCTTACCAATAGGGGTCCTCCAAGAGCTTATCCCTCCAGCCAGTCAGATAAATGGAGTCAAAATTATGTGCGAATGCCACACTCTGTACATAGTCTTTATCCTATTGATCCAGTATGTGTACCATTATAATTTTACCATACATATTTTGAATTTCATTTTGTGGTAATTTTAATTTTGATTAAGGAAAATGAATCGAGTGGCTTTAGACGTAGATGGGAAGTAATTCAAGAAGCATTATTGCAAAGTTTTATGTCTTCTGAGCAATTACAAATGGCTATTTTATCTTATAATCACAAATATGCCAAAAGATGGAACTTTTCCGCCCTTCATCATTTTTTCAACAAAGTAATTGCCTTTATATCAATTTAAATATTTATGCCACATATTTAGCCATTCAAACTTAGTGTTCATATTTTTGCAGTATATTGATGAAGAAGAAATGGGATTGTGTTTGGGTTCTTTAATTCCGAAGATGATTCAACTTGCCTTGCAACTCCCAGATTTAATCACTGGACCATTACCTTTATTAAAACGTCAAACCAATGCATCAATAAGTCTTAGTCAACTGCAAGTAGCTTCTTTACTGGCTAATGCATTTTTTTGTACATTTCCACGCCGTAACTCAAGTAATCCTCAATCAGAATATGGCACATTTCCGTACATAAATTTCAATGGGTAAATAATAATATAGCCAACATCTGTTAGTAGTTATTGAATAATTTAATTATTTAATGATTTTCAGATTATTCTCCTCTTTTAGCGAAAAGAGAAGTTCAAGATGCAATTCTGTAATGGAAAAATTAAAATGTCTTTTCCACTATTTTAGAAGAATAACTTCAAAAAGTAAATATTTTTATTCTTTTTTTATCTTAATTTTTTTTCTTGAAAACATTAATTTAATTAATATTATTTAGGTCCTGAAGGAACTATTACAATACAAAGACGATACATTGCCAGAAGGAATTGCCCTAGATGGAATGATCAAAAAAATAAACTTCCTTCACTGCATATTTCAAGTAAAGGTACTATTGAAACCCAAGGAGCTGGTCTCTTACAAGTTGATTTTGCAAATAAGTAAGATATTCTAAAAATAATAAATGTGTATTATTTAAAAATCACTAATACAACTCTATTTATACTTGCAGGTATGTAGGTGGTGGTGTTTTGAATTATGGTTCTGTTCAAGAAGAAATAAGATTTGTTATATGCCCAGAATTAATGGTAACAATGTTGGTTGCCGAAGCATTAGAGGATACAGAAGCTCTCATTATCAAAGGTGTTGAGAGGTACAGTAAATACAAAGGATACAGTAATACTTTTATATGGGATGGCGACTTTATCGACGAAACTCCAAGAGATAGTAGTGGAAGATTAAAAACATGTATAGTAGCTATAGACGCGTTACAATTTGATCAACCCAAAGTACAATTTACCATGGGAAATGTCATTCGAGAGTTGAACAAGGTAAAATCTAAGTTTACATTATTACTTAAATTTATGTCAACCACAATTAATGCAAATAATTATTATTTTATTTTTAGGCCTACGTTGGTTTCAGCACTGAAATTGCATCGACCAATTTACCGGCAGTAGCTACAGGAAATTGGGGGTGTGGTGCGTTTCGTGGAAATCCACAATTGAAAGTATTGGTTCAATTAATGGCAGCTGGTGTAGCTGGACGGTCAGTAGTATATTTTACATTTGGTGATACAAGTTTAAGGGATCGAATTGCAGATATGTATTGGCATCTCGTTCGAAATAACGTTAATATAGGTAAAATAACATGATCTTTTTAAATTTTTTTCCATTTTTTTGCAAGTGATTCTAACACTTTTTATATATTGCAGGCCATTTATTTACACTCATATCGAAATATCAAGAAGTATCAGTGGAGAATCGGGCGGATTTTTATCGTTTCTTATATAATCGAACAAAAATGAAGTCGTCTGTACACTTTTTCAATGATAAAGATTTTTCATCAAAGTCGTTTGAAGAAGAAGACGGTGCTGACAAAAATCGCCCAGACAAATGGCGTTTCAACATGGACTTCAAGAAACATGCCTCAATCGCCAAACAAAAAGAAGACGCTTTAGAAGAAAAAATTGGTAAATGGTTGGAGCATGTAGAAAGTGACGTTGCGGCTTTAGATGAAGCCGAGGCAAGTACATCAAAAGCGGAGGAAAGCGTGCAGATTGCAAGTACCAGTGGTAAAGAAACAGAAGCAATTGCTGAAAAAAACGATCAGCCAAGCACTGTATCTGTACAAAATAAAAAGAAGCAAACTTTCGACGAATTGTTTGGAGAAAAAAAAGCCATGGTTCATTCTCCAAAGAAAAAAGTATCTGCTCTCGATACTCTGGATAAACTGTTAATCGAAGAACCGTCGGTCAAAATGGATGTAAAAAGTGTATCGATGGAAGTGGACGTTAAAATTGAGAAACAGGAAGAGATAAGTTCTTTTCAAAATAAATTAAACTCTTCGAAAAACCAAAAAGAGAGTCAAAAGAAAATTTCTGATTTTTTTATCGTCAAACGAAAAGATGAATTGTAAATTTGACTATACAAAATTTTAGCACTGAGAATACGAATTTTTTAATCATGGAGCTTTTTAATGATGTATATATTTTTAAGAAATTACAATGTATGAAATTACAATTTATTGAAAATACTAAATATATTTTATTATTTCTTGCAAGTGGTTTTCACCCACTCGCATCGAAAAAGTAGAAGTAAAATAAAACAAACTATCGTGCTTGAAGTTTGGCCTTTGAATGTTGTTTTTAATGAATGAAGGTAGGATGTTAAATAATTTGCGCAGTCGGACAAGGCACTAATCTCGCTGAGAAATTGTCGGTTCTCAACGCTAATTAAGAATTTTACATAACTCGACGCGTATAATTTTACGTCACGCGTGTCGCTCGAAGTAGGTCGAACTAAAAGAGTGAATTTTCGCGCTTGCATCCTTTCTTTGCCAATACTGTTTTTTTTTGTCGTGGTCGTTGTTACCAGCATCCTACAAGTGCATCCGTCCCTATGTAATCTTAAAATCGACCTTGTTCTCTTTTTCTTCTCTTTCTGCGCCTCATCGCCCTTGCGCTTGAAAACATCTCTCGTCCTGCAGCGTATAGCCTGCGCGCCAGTGACGAAGCGTAAACTTGCAGGGCCCCCAATGTTTCATCAAATCGTCCGTTTTTTCTCAAGCATAAGTGCTTTTGAAACCAATGATCGGCTTTACGCAAATTGTTTACACAAAAATCCATTGAAGCTAAAATTTTTGCACCGCCTGCCTCCAAGTCAAGGATGAACTGAATTTCGGAGTCAACTTTTGCGAATCTCCTTCGCAAAATATTAACGATTTCATCTAAAGCGCCGTTTAAAATTATCGGCATTACGCAATCGTAAAAATATTACTGACAATACAGTTGAGGCGAACGAAAGCAAATCTCTATAATTAAGCACACGACCGGCTTTGGATTATAAAAAACAGGCACACGTAATTATTACCAGAATAATACACGCCATTATATTCCTCCTACATGAACGAAGAATCAAAATTTGTTGTCATTCGAATCATGAGTATACAAGGCCGAAAAAAAGTTGTAAGATAAAAATGTACAGGTACGAGATAGGCAGGTATACAGGTAGATACGCGCCTGCTAAACAGAATCGTACGGCCGGCAGCAGTTCTTTGACTCCGCGGGCACGCAGATATATATAGAGACAACGGTGGCGGCGGCAGCAGCAGCGCCAATTCGAGCGCACGGTTGGCCTCCGCTCGCAGCTTCGCTCGGCGAAACGAGTCAGTCAACTCGCTGCATTCGTGTCGAGCGTATCCGTGAACTTTTAACGGCCCCTCGCGTGTTTATATACATAGCACAGCGTACAAACGTTGTTGTTGTCGTTTTTGATCGACGTTTCGAACGCGTACACGGGCTTTTTAGAATTTGAAAGAAATTCGAACCGCGTGTGTGGGATTTTGTCATCGTGTGTCAATCGAGTGCAAGTGTTGGTGATCCACTAATCGATTATATTACAAGTAATTATTGGCGTGTTTGAAGTGCTTTATTTTTGGTGTCGTGCGCGTGTTGTTGTCGTGTTGGTGCGTGACAATTTTAACTCGCGTTGCAACTCAATTGCCGCGTGATATGTGAAATTGGAGCCAGCAGCTGAAATTTTCGACTTTGCAGTTGACGCAGCATAGAAGAAAAATATTTCCGGAGCAAGAAGCGCCGAGCATACCGGTTAGCCCTGACCTTATTATATATAGTGCCGCAGAGAGAGAGAAAGGACATAACGTTCCCACGTGCTGTGTCGCTGCTCCTATTGAAGCAGTGTGCACTTGCAGCTGCAAAGCGACTAGAGCGAGTGATCTGCGAGCAGCAAGGATCATGAGTACGGAGTTTTAAAGGAACAGGGACACCAAGTGACAGCTGCAAATCTCGCGAAGATGGAAGACGAGCTACGCTGCCCGTCGTGCAAAAAGTTGTACGTCGAGCCGGTACTGCTGCCCTGCTGGCACTCGCTTTGCCTGGCGTGCGCCGTAAATCTGCAGGCTCAGCCCTCCTCGGTGGGCCCGGCCGAGGGCTCGGCCTCGTCGACGACGTCCTCGAGCCACGAGTCGAGCTCCAACGGCAACGGCCACGTCGTCGGCACCGACAATCACAACGGCCACAACGGTCACAACGGCAGCCTCAACTGCGACCCGGAGGCCGACAAGGTGTCGATCCTCTCGGAGACGGACTCGGGCGTCGTGTGCAGCACGAGCAGCGCCGCCTCGACCGGCAGCTCGAGACCCGGCAGTTACGTCGGCACACCTGGCAACGGGGGTGGCTTCCCGCCGAGCGGAGGCACCCTCTGCCTCAGCTGCCCGGTCTGCCAGAAGACGGTCTTCTTCGACGACGGCGGAGCCAACAACCTGCCCAAGTACAAGGCCATGCAGAGGATCGTCGACAAGTACCTCGAGTCCAAGAACGTCAAGCTGCTTTGTCAGATGTGCGAGAAGGAACCGCGAGAAGCTACGGTCGCCTGCGAGCAGTGCGAGGTAAGCACGATACAACAACAAGAGCCCGAGACCGGCCTCCGAAAAGTGAAAGGAGTTTGGCTCCGCGGAGCATTCCACAGCCTCGATTTTTGGCAGTTTTACGAGCGGCGCCGGATTCTCGTTACGTTGCAATAGTCCTCCGGTCGTAACGTCTTGTTGTAAGCTTATCGATCGTAATCGTCGCCGATAAAAAACACGTCGGCGATTACGCGTAATTTGAATCAAGCATCGACTCGTATCACCGACAATTTTTCCAACTTTTTGCTATTGGCGCACGTGTATCTCGAATGCTTTGTTTACCCGAGTAATTTTATAATTGGAAAAAATCGCCGGTTTAGCGGAAAACTGTATTCGACTCTGATCCGCATTTTCAAAACGAATCGACTGTGCGCGTCCGAGTTATAGCCATTAAAATCCGTCAATATTGGCTTATTCTAGCTGTATAGTATTATACTGTATATGCGAACGATATTGCCGGCTCCGAGTGTTGCATTTTTCACTGTTTATATATTTTCGCGCGATTTCAGCCTTTCGCGCTTCCGAGAACTTGGTCAATAAAGAAGTCGGTCAATAAAGTATCCTTGTACGCATCGGCCGAATGATTTTACTCGTCGGAGATTTTACGAGGCGCTCGTTCGCTGGCTTGGCTGCGCGCATTATATCGTGTGGGCGTAAAATAAAATTTCATTTCTTTATGTACGCGAGCCGCCGAAAGGGTGCAATAAACGTTGCATTTGCAACTCCAATAGAGATTAGAGCCGCGTTATAAAGCACATAAAAGCAATGGCTTTCAGGCAGCTTTTAAAATTCTCACGCGTGGTCCGCGGGGCCCCCTTTTGTAAGATCCACGCGAAGCAGCGGGATACAAACGTCTCTCCAAGTATAATACAGGACTAAAATGTTGGGCGCTCGCCTTCCAACAGGTACTGTACTGCGAGGGCTGCCGAGAGTCGTGCCACCCCATGCGCGGGCCCCTGGCGGCACATCACCTGGGCCCGGCTCAGGGTACCTGGTCGACGGGTCCCCGGAACTCGGGCTCGCGCCTCGACAACGGTCTGCACCACGGCTCGGGCTGCGCGGAGCACTCGGGCGAGCAGCTGAGCCTCTACTGCGCCCTGTGCAAAGTCGCCGCCTGCGGATTGTGTCTGCGGGATCGTCACACGACCCATCCGCACGACGTGTTGCCGCTCACCGCCGCCTGCAAAGCACAAAAGGTTAGTATACATTTAGTGCACATGACATCATTGGGGGACGCACGTTTGTCGTGCATTCTCGTTTGGGGAGACGACCGTGCGTGCGGATTCATTTGCCGTGCGGTTATCTACCGTTTCAGATTCGATGCTTCAACGACTCGCTGAGAAAAGTGTAAAAATGAGACGCGCTCGATTGTTATCGTTTCCCGATAAATATAGTCGCTCGAGCCAAGTGACATCTTGATTATATTCAATCAGCTCGATCTTTTAACATACGCTCGTCAAGTATTTACATGCTTTGCTCGCTGTTTCGTAAAGTCTCCGTAGCTCAATGCATAAAATACGGGCTTTCTCTCTCGGGCTTGTATAAACATTGAAACATCTGCTCCCGCTCCGATATCTCGCGTCTATCTAACGAATGGCCCTCGTAGGCACTCATAAATACATACTCACACATACACGTGTCAGGGTGTCAAACAATTTATACGGCTACGCATACAGGCGCGTTTCTTTCGCCGTCTTTTGTTATATATCAATCGCCGAGATTGGAAATTATTGCGCGCACTCAATAACGGCCATACGGAATATGCATACTCTAGCGCATACTGACTAATAACTTGGCTATTCCAAGTCTCTCTCGGGTACGCTACGTACCCAGCCGCCAGCAGCTCTATATACTTATTGCTCAATACTCATAGATCTACTTTAGACGGATTAATTTTTTTTCTGCGCGCTCGTATGTGTTGGCAATAAAGGATATATTCGCGTGTACTTCTCGAGTGCTATTTAGATTGGCGATCGCTCGGCGACGCGGTCAACGATCTCGCCCACTGAAATATTCAGCATTTTTTACTTCCTCCTTTATCCGTGACAATCGCACGCACACACGCCACGACAAAATTCCAGCTAAAAGCGTTTATAAGCCTGCGTGTCTCGTTATAAAACTCCCTTCTCTTTCTCCCTCTTGCCCCCCTTTCATTAGGAAATGCATCTAACCATAATCAATTGTATATATGTAGGCGATTTAACGACGCTAAGCTGCACATTGCATGCGAAATAGCAAATAGTCGTCCACATAGGCAGGCAATTCATAGAGAACGAGAAAGAGAGAAGAGAGCGAGGCTTTAAATGCGAGTCCGATAAGGAATCCCTTTAATTGTGATCGGATGAGGATAAAGAGAGCTCCTGCTATGAGGCACGAGCTCTGGCCCACAACGGCTGAGCTTTGTTTTTCAATGCGAAAGGGTCGCGTGCGACGAATGACAGCTCTTCTCGTGTGTTTGTTTACGTCCGTCTGTGCGAGAGAGGCAAGCCATGCCTGCCTAGAGCTTCATTAAGACCCGCCGTATTATAGCTACGCTCGTTTGCCGTATACACGAGATTTTTTTTATTATCTTGCGAGTGACGGAAGTCGAGTCGCTGAAATCATCACGCGGCTGACCCTCTTTTTCATCGTCGATCGGTCGCGATATCGATGCGACCGCGTGTAATAAGCGCGGCCAATGCACACACCCGCTCTCATCGTGTGCAGCGCACGCGTACGTACTCTATTGTTTTGGCCTTATCGGATCTTCGGCCAAGATAAACCGCCGCCGCTGCAACTGCACGCTTACGTAGTGTCGCGTGACTCCATGTGAATCTTTTAAAACGCTGACACGTTCGGAAAAATAGACTATTTTTTAGTAAAATTAAGCGTGGACGAGCAATTAGAACTGGCTCGGTTATTCAGCAAAATTTCGCTTACTTTGGAACTTTATTAATTTTCAAGCGACAAGCAGAGAGATAAAGAAAAAGTTTGCACTTTCTTTTGCTCCTTTTCTCCCCTCTCTCTCTCTCTCTCTCTCTCTGTCTTTGGGTGTCAAGAATATAATTTCTGTTTTACGGCGATGTAGTCATTATCACCAGAGTCTCGGCTCACTCTGTAACAGCATTTGCCGGTGTCTACCTTGCCAAGCTCTTGATGTTCTGATAGTGCACCATTTCTTTCTTTCTTTCTCTTTTTGAACAAAAATATTACGTTGTATATGAGGTTTGTATTGTGCAAAGAGCAAGTTTTTAATAGTCAGCGAGGAGATAAGCGAGAAAAACATATACATAGACAATCGCCGGTGTACCGCCTGCCTATAAAACTTCACGCCCATCACGTGGAAAATTAAAAACGTCTCACGAAACCCCTTTAGCCTTTTTTTCATTCTCTATCCCTCCGTACATACATGCAGACGTCCTTCCGGACACTTCTCGTTAAATTTTTCAGTGTACAATCTCTCTCTCTGTTTTCCCCTCTTCTCTACCCCTTTACATCCCTCTTTGTTAACCCCTTTTTTCGATTGCCAGGTTCTCTTCCGGGAGAGTAGCCGAAAGTACTCGGGTCGATTATTTTTTGTCTCGTCGCATGCGCTCGTCTCTTGCGTAAAACAATGGCATAATAACGTGGCTGGAAAAATGATTTTTACGATTATATCGAATGCGCGCACGCATACACGAGCGCAATACTACGACTCGGCAATAATCAGAGAGCTCGGAGAGAAAAATTTCTCCGCGCGCGTGTTTAAGTACATACGCGGCAAAGAGAACAATCGAAAGGATTATGCGGCGCACGTATCGATATCTGGATGCGCCCAACCTTTCTCTCCGGGTGAAGAAAACAATACACGACCTCGTAGCATCTTATTACTCGCGCTCGTACGAATATAATATACCTACTCATTTTCTCATTGAATGGTACGAGATTTCACCCCAATAGTGTCCCTCCCGTGGTCTGTATGCGTAACATCTTTTTTCTCTTCTTTTTTTTTGTTTCGCGTCATCCCTTCAGACATTGTATACATATACGGCTATTAGCTGCTCATTGTATTCATACATCCGACGACCTCGACACCTGCTCGTTTTTCCCGCACTCGCGTCAAAACCCCGGACTGACATATGCCCGTGAAAAGTTTATCATTATTGCAGGCCTCTTCGGTGCGTGCACGTATACAGGCGCGATCGGTAACAAATTGTTACGAGCTGCCTCTGGCCGCGTCGGTCTTTTGTTATCGACCTAATAAATACAAGGTGCAGCGCAGAAAAGAACAAGCGGCAATAAATCGCGCAATATGTGCGGGTTTTGAGCGCCGCGATCGAATTTATCGCGACGAACTAGAACGCCTGTGTGACCGTGTATACATGCATGTGCTCGAGTTTTAATCGAGATAGCCAATCGCCGAGCTTCCAATTATAAAGTATACTCGCTTCAGCATTGTGTCATCTATTCTCTAAGCCCATTCAATTTCGGCCATTAATCCTGCGGCTGTGATATATACAGGCACATTTGCCTACGCTCGTGCGGATGATACGAGGCTTTTTACCGCGCGTATAATCCATGTAAGAAGCAAGATCGAGGATGACAAGGGTCAGGATAGTATGAATCAGCGGGCGGACTCGAACGCGCGCTATTATTAGAATTCCGTATCACTACGTGCGCTATTTCATGCTGGAGAGATATGTAAAAATGACCCTGTCGTGATTGCGACGCAAGTGTGAATTATAAACTTGGGCTGCGCTAGCTTGGTACTCGCTCGATGATTACACACAGATGAGCTGCACTTCTTGCCCTGGATTAAAGCCGATTTTCCACGTCACGCGACTCCAACGGCTTATTTCACTATACCCGTGGTATAATGAAATTTTATGCGTTTCGACCAAGACTGCTGTGCGGGGGAACGCAGAAAATCCCGTGTATGTATTAATGATGTTGCAGAAATCTCGTTACAATAACGTCTAAATGCTCCCAAGGTATTCGCTGATAAAGGTCCAGTCGGAACTTTCCGCTTGTGCGTTGTGCTATCTGGGGCTCTCTGAAAACGTAGCTTCCTCTCTCGAGCGCGAGCTCACACGTATGCGTTCGAGAGGGAGATTGAATTCGAGAACGTATCGTGCGGTTTTGTAGCTCCAGCTACGTAATTACTAATTGTTCAAAGAGTTGCCTTTCTCTCTGTGTACGTTTCTGCACGAATGAGATGAAATGCCGATTATTTATTGATCGCTATTCGGCGTGCAGGCAACGAGTGATTTTATTTTTTCGTCCATCTCATCATTGCACTGCGGCATGGAAGTATCGACGCTAATACGCCGCGATTCTTTTCTCTTGCGCGCGTTTCTATGGTAATAATGCCATGAAATACTATGCACACGGCGATACATCAAGAACCACTCAGACTCCGACAGAAAAAGCAAAACTGCTCGAGGGTAGAGAGAAAAAAAAACGAGAAGCGTCACGAGTAGCAACCCTCCCGCACACGTGCCTCTTTCTTCGCTGTACTAATTAATGCCTTTCCGACACCGGGATCTACATCCGAGCTTCGATTTTCATCTCCAAAGGCCTCGCTTTATTTGATCCCCAAGACGCCGGATCCAGCCGTATATAAATATAAGAGTTAAAGGGGTGATATTGCTTTTGCGGACGAGCTCGACTCGCGTCTTGTCTCGTCAGCTATCCTCGCTTATATTGATATTTGGCTCTGAGCAAATATTGGTTTATACGGTATTTATGATGTTGTATTATTTGTTACCACGTTAAATTACTCGAAATCATTACGACTCTGAAAGGTATCGCGTTTTCCATCTCTCGGAAAAAGGAGGATTCAGTTTCAAAAATAGTTTTTTTTTGTTGTTGATTACGCGTTTGAAATCAGTCAATTGATGAATTTTTCGCTGAAAAATTGCAAAAAAAGTTTTATGGATCAGTATTGGAATGCCAAAAATGGATGAGAAAAAAACGAGAAAAAAGGACTAACGAATACAACACGCCAGGTTCAGCGCTTGAGCGTACTGCACTGACGGACAAGTCAAAGAGTATAAATATTGCAATCAACGATCAACGCGTGGAAGGCATCAAATTAAATTTCGCATGTTTCAGGCTGTGCCTTGTTTAGTGCCCATCGTTCAACTCGGACGATGGAATGGAAACAATTTTTCGAAAGTATTTTTGAAAAAATGATGGCTATGCGTGCGCTATGACAAAAAAATAGCAAGAAAATTTT